AGGCTGCCCACCTCAGTCTGATCCTTCGGTTAATCTCATTCTTATGGTTCTCTTTTCCCATTTTAATTTCCTGTCCTAGATACAAGTACTCATTCAATTACTGTCCTATCCACTAATATTTCCGCCGTATCCTCTGATTCTGTGGTCATCACTTTGGTCTTATCGAGATTCATATCTAGACCTACTTCAGAGGATACCACGTGTAGTTCCTATATCATGCACTGGAGATCTTGTGGCGTGTCAGCAAATAGGACGATGTCATCTGCATATCTTAAGTTTGTTAGACGTGTACCCATTACAGAGGCATCTCTGTAATGGGTATACCTAAGGACCTATTTAAAAAACTAAACTGGCAGGATAAGGGCATCCTTATCCTGCCAGTTTAGTTTTTTAAATAGGTCCTCGATAACCAGGGTGAAGAGTTTCGGAGACAGGGAATCGCCTTGTCTTACGCCCCTTCTGATCTTTATGGGCCTAGTAGATTGCGGAAGTGATACCTTCATAGTTGCGTTTTTGTAGATCTCAGCTATTAGATGATTGTATCTGTTGTCTACTCTTGCGTTTCTTAACGATCCCTGTACCGCCCAAGCCTCTACGGTATCGAACGCTTTTTTGTAGTCAACGAACGCAAACCATAAGGGCATTTGGTATTCTGTGGCTTTTTCAATGAGCATTCGCATGGTTAGGATATGGTCTACTGTACTGTACCCGCGCCTAAAACCGGCTTGCTCTTCCGGCTGGTAGAAGTCAAGTTTGCTGGTGATTCTTGTAGTAAGTATTTATATGATTGTATGATGTATTTATTCGAGAGCAATTTATATGTTTTCAAACTTATTGGTCTATAGTTGTTCAGGTCGGCTTTACATCCTTTTTTAAATAAAATTATGACCATTGCGCTGTTCCATTGTTCCGGAATTTTACCCAGATGAAGGCATTTGTTAAAAAGTATGGCTAGTGATTCTATGAGAGTGTTATCGTTATCTTTGAGTTGTTCAGGCAAGATTTCGTCGTCTCCTCCTGCTTTACCATTCTTCATCGCAGACAGGGCCAGTTTTATTTCAGCCTTAGTTATGTCAGGGATATCTTCTGACCCGACATTAGTGATTTTAGATTTATTCGTGTTCGGTTGTGCATTTGAGTATGAGGTGTAAAGTGTTGTGTAGTAGTCTTCTATAACCTACAATAACTTTTTCCTGTCTGCGATCAAGTTTCCTTCCTTATCTTTTAATTTCGTAATTTGTAGGGTACCTGGTTGAAGTTCTCTACAAAATACTTTCGGGCCTTTATATCGTCTGATAACCTCCTCCACTGTCTGTTCTTTGAATTTTTCTATATCTTCTTCTACTTTCTGTTTTGTTTCCCCGCAGAGCTGTTTGAAGTCATCTGATCCCTTTAAACCCTCCTTTATCATGTCGCGTCTCTTCTGCAGTAATCCTTTACTCTCCACTGATAGTTTTCCTTGACGAGTGCTATTCTTATTCGCTACTTTAAGCGCGGCCTCCATCATGCCTTGGTTAAGCTTTGATTAAGGGTGTCTATATCAAGGGTCTCAGGTTTTAATTCAGACAGCTTATCTTTTAGATTTCATCGGTATATTTCAGAGTTTATTTGCAATTTGAGAGGGTCTACTTTTCTGGTATATTTCTTATTCAAGGACATGTATCTCTGCATTTTCGCATTAATAGATATTTTAGCCCTGATGAGGCGGTGGTCGCTCCCTGTATAGAAATTATTTAAAACACTGACGTCCTTCACTATATGTTTATGAGAGCAAAATATGTAATCAATTTCATTTCTGTACAGTCCTCCAGGTGACAACCATGTCCATTTCCTTTGCACTCTTTTCTGGTAGAATGAGCTCATGTGGTACAAATTATTTTGCTGTATAAAGTTGATAAGATTATTTCCTCTTCCGTTCCTATCCCCATAACCAAATTTGCCCATAAATGTTTCAGATGGTTCTTGTTGTTTACCAATCTTGGCGTTAAAATCGCCTATTACGAAGGTATACGTTGTCTTTTCAGCATCGCATGCTTTTTGTACATCTTCATAGAACTGTTCAATTTAGTCATCTGTTGCTGCAGATGTTGGTGCATATGCTTGGACTATATTTAGAGTAATTTTCTTTGAAATGCTTATGACAGTTTGTACTACTCTCTCTGATGTAGATCCAGTTGAGATTATTTGGTGTTCTAGGTTTTTGTTAATTAAGATTCCCACTCCTCAAATACATAAATAATATAGATAAATTACACCTAGACATAGAACAAATGGTCATGCTCATCACACAATTATTTGTCCTGGATGGGAATGGAGCCCACGACCTCTGGCTTAGCAGTCAGCTCCAATAACCACTAGACCAACAAGGCCGTTAATTTCTAATTTTTTCGTGTCTATACTCTCTAGTTTCTCGCAACCATTTATGCATCAAATTCTAGTAACCAAAGATCCGTAGGACAATCATCTGCCTTGTAAAAACAATATGAAATTTATTCTTAGTTTTACCCGCCCGGTAGAACTAAGATTTTTTTTTTCTTAATTCTTTTCTGTTGAACCGATTTTTTTCTCATCTGATTTTTAAAAAAGATTTAAAACAATAATTTGTGGATCACACAAATTGTTGTCCCATATGGAGATCAAACCGATCGAGCGAACACTCGGGGAAGTAGGAAGCGGTGAGGTGATCGCTTGAACCACTACGCCATCCGTGGACTCTGATTTGTTTATTAAGGGTGCACGGTTTCGTCCCTCAAACATTCCCCATTAGACATTTCTTTTCTCATATGTGTTGTTGTTCTTTTTTCATATGTTTTCTTATGTATATTTTTTTCTTATTACTAATTGACCTAAAATTTTAATTGAAATAAGCAATCCGTTTTCTAAATAAAATTTGTTAGAATGGTCATTCATTTAAACTCTTGCCCACTTAAATTAGTTGAGTTGGATCGAAGCTAGGTGTGCACATTGAACTTAAACTAAATGCTTATGCTGCACATGTCCTCCTCGTTACTTATTCATGTAGAAATACCAGTGCAACATATTTAGTTACAAGTAACAACATGATCGAAAAACAAATACTATTTCTCGTTAGGCAACAAACCGCAATTTAGTCTCTAGTTGTCGCCGCTGTTGCGAAACATGATACAATATTTACTGATCCGATGACATAATATCCGACCTCGCAACACACCCTTTGTAAATATTCCCAGCTTCAAACCGAAATATAAAAGGAATATGTTTCTCAAATTGGCTGAAACCGGTTTTGAGTATAATCCAAGATATTTTGGTTACATAAAGCTGTTTTATGACTAATATAGACCTATGCTGGTGTGTTCGGTATAAATAAGGGTTACATACCGATTTTCCTTAATAGAAATATCGAACGTTGTTGTCTTATTATAATTATTGCAATTAAATGAAATAATTACAACTCCCCTCGCAGCCGCCGCGCCACGATGAATGTAGCCTGTCTATCAATTACCTATTTTTCTGAGCACCTACTTTAAACTAACCTGAAAATTACTATTACCTTTATAATGTTACCTATTATCTTGAAAGTGTCCGTGTTGACTTGAAACCTTTTAATAAAGATTGTAACATACCTATATTTTTCAGTTTTTAGCAACTTTTGTTGGTGTATTCTAAAGACAAAAACTTTTATAAAGTCTGTGGTGACTCCCACATACAAACAAAACAGAAACATACTATAGCGCCATCTAATGAAGACACACCGAACTACTAATCCTAGAGAATTGCTAATCCTGTATCGCGATATGAAGAATTCTCTGCGATTATAGCCGATATATAATTATATGCCGATTAGAATATATACAACTTCACATCATCAACCGTTGGGCCGCGGCCCGCCAGGCATGGTCACCTCGCCTAGTCGGAGGATCGTCCGTTTGTGTTCGAGGGACATGACACCCCTTCCTCCACAAGCCTCTTGGGTACGAAGGGTATTCCCTTACCGGTACTAATTACATTTTTATTAGCTTTGGAGACTGCGTGTCTTACCTTCTGAAATATTAGGCTACTTTAAAGGGACCACGCATCCACTGTGCTTTGACTATATTTAAATAGAATTTGTTTCATACCACAATTTATATAGGATTTTCTATGCACATGCATTAAATAATATCCATGACGACACATTTCTCAGAACAGAATTTTGTATTGAACAAGTGCCAACATCGGTCAACCTGTCTATTCGGCTTCAAAAGTACTGTTTAATATATAGGCGCTTTAGTATCCATCAACGTCTATCGTGCATAAATTTTTTATACATTATGATCAGCTCGATAAATAATCAATGGTTAGTAAAGGTGTTAAGAACGTTCACCATAGTTTAATGATGGGTTAAAAGTCTAACGCGTAATATATGAGTGATTTGAATAAAGCATTATCTCTCAAAATTGTAGATAATATATTTATAGGTACGATTAACAAAAACCAAACCATAAATCTAGTAAATAATTATTATATCATTATTTAAAACAAAATTTCATTTGGAATCTTAATTTTTTGTACAAATGAGATTTCAACAACAGAATTTGAATTTTAAAGGAACTGTTTTTAAGTAAATATTCCTGCTTAGTTTATTGTAGAAATGGGAATATTTCCAAAAATTGTTATCGAACTCATATTGATTTGATATTTGTAGAAGAAATAACTTTGTTTTTATTTACACTATATTTAGCATCGACGACGAGTTGACTTTCACCGCAACGTCATTGGATTGACCGGCACGATATGATCTAAGCGTTGACACTACACCGATGATGGTTTCGTGCTTCTAATCCATTCGCATCTTTATCGATGCCATTAAATTAACTGAAGGCTATGAAATGCAAACAGCACACGTTGCATATAATTTACTAATAACCTATAATTAAGGTTTATGGCTTCCACGTTCACAAAACTCCATTATAAATAGAAGTTTGTTTTCATGAGCACTCAGTTCGGATTTTACCAAAATCAGTTTACGTAGTTTGTGAATAATGTACTACGCACTGGCTTTAAATGAGTTTAGTGTAAGGCGTTGAAAACACTTCAAAATAGAATGAATCCATTGTGTAAGATGAGAAATTATAATAGGTATCCAAATTCAAAGTTTTGATGTGGGACATTTGGATATTACAATTTCAGTCCAGAGGGCGAACACGCATTAGTTTACGTGTGCCATCCTTCAAATATTCCCCTTTCAAATATTTTAATAGTAATATACGCTCTACACTATTATTTAGCTTAGTAGTGCCCATACAAACGTCGGAACGCTAAATATATTTTGGTAAAGACACATTGACCTCAAAAAATCTAGTAAAGTCTGTAAGACTCGTAACTTCCACAAACCTCATAGAAGGAAATTTTTAGATTCTTGGCATGTGGAAGTACAAACTGAACTAAAAGACAAATTACAATCCATAATAATATTATTTCGATAACGGTTGCCGTTTTTAAGGCCCGATTTGTTTTACTTATCCAGCTAGACCTCTTATTGTCCAGATGAATAATATTAACGGAACTTGAGTCTAAAATAGTTAACTAGAGTACTAACTATTTAAAATAATATTTTTACATTATTATCCATGTTTAAGAAATAAAGCGTTATCTATCTTTCAATTGTACATGTCTCTTACTTGTGTTTAATAAATGAAATTGATTGACATAAAAGATTGAAAACATTACTAAATTTAAAAAAATACACGTTTAAATACTATATTTGAGCTCTTAAACAATGTATAAGTAGATGTATATATTTTATATAATCAGGTAAAGGTAAACTGTAGTTCCAGTACAATGGTCACGTTAATGACGTAACGGCCGGTATCATTGTCGCAGGTCACGGCGCCCAAGTTCCCGGTTGTGATCAAGATAGGACATGCTCACAGCGGCGTTGCAAAGGTGAAAGTGGACTCATTGTCTGACTTCCAGGTAACTGTGTTTTTCATAATTTTGGGGGAAAAATGGGCCGATGCATTGTACACGAAAAAGTACTAAAGGTAAAAAAATAAAACAATTTTATGACGAATTTTAAATCATTTTTCATTTGTTTTTTTAGGATATAGCTGGTGTTGTAGCAATGCTTGGAACGTACTGTACCGTGGAGCCGTACATTGATGCAAAATATGATATCCACATACAAAAGATTGGCACTAACTACAAAGCATTCATGTAAGTACCATTAAGGTGGTTTATGATATTTATCAGGCGCGCGCCTACCACAAATGTCAAAGTAGTCTGCACATCTAATAATAAACAAAATACTTCAGGCGTTTTGTGATGTTGGCAAACAGACAATAATAATATATTTAAAAAATCGAGAACAATTATTTTTCAGGCGCAAATCTATATCGGGAAATTGGAAAACCAATCAGGGATCTGCAATGCTCGAGGCCATTGGAATGAACGATAGATACAAGATGTGGATAGATGAGGTAAATAATAATTTAATTTTTCATTCGTTAAATGTTGAAAAAAAGATTGTTACACAATATGATTAAAACAAAACATTTTAACTATAAGAGTAAGTTTAAAGTTACTGGGGCACCCAACTCTTTAACGAACTTAATTCTTTGTCAATTAAAAACGAATTCAATTAAAGTATATAAAGTATATCTAAAAAAAAATCTTTCTCTTATTTTGCCTTAGTTGATTAAATTCAATTTAATTTTTTTGGACCACGATCTTAGCTAGTTAGCTAGGAATGTGACCAGTACGGTGATCCTAATTCATTGTGTAAGAGCACAAAATATTATTTTCGTATTTACTTATATCTAAACTAAGTGACGATGTAATAATTAGTTATTTAATCTACTTTGTGGATAACAGTTAATATTCCTATGCAGATGTCGGTACTAGTTTTATTAGCATTTTTAAATTCACAAAGAATGAAGTAGCGACTACTTCTCATTCTTAGATTTATCGTAGTATTATTTATCGTAGTATGTTTTCCTAACTGCTGATTAATTGTTATTTATTTACTATAAATTCTTATAAAGAACCATGGTCCGTATAAAGTTATCACATGATTTTAATGTATTACGTAGGTGAGCGAGATTTTCGGCGGTCTGGAAGTTTGCGCGCTGGAGCTGGTTGTCGGTAAAGATGGCCGAGAACACATCATTGAACTAAATGACTCTGCTACCTCTTTCATGGGAGATTCTCAAGAAGAAGACCGTCGCCATCTTGCGGAACTTGTGTTACAGCGTATGCAGGTAAGATATAGAATACTTAGGAACTATCCAAATACTTAGAAAACAGAAGTCATCTTTTTATTAATTCCTCAATAGGATATAGTTGTTCCTAATATAAAATAATATTCTTTTTTAAAGTTATGGAATGATAGTCTACCAAAACTCATTTAAGTGTATGCTAACATGAATGACGATGGGGCTATGTTTAGGTGTAGGTCTGCCTTTAGGTTTCTTGATTCTCTTAATCATAGACTTCATTACGGATAGTGATCTTAAACTCTTCTAGTTAATTACTATACACACCCCCCCCCCCCCCCCCGATAATTAGTGGAACACAAAAAAACGAAGAATTAATGTACTTTTTGGTCACTCTGGCCGGTTATATTACTTTTATTTTAATTGTAGGTCATATTAGTCGACAGTCATTTCCTTCATTCGTTTGTTTTAAGTTTTCATTCATAAAAGTAAAGTTCGTAAATTTCATTTGAAAAACATTGTATTGCAGTTTTATGAGGCTTTTGTGTTTTCTCGCATATTGATCAGTTACGAGCATCTAAGTATGAATGATTTAACGCTATCAGAAATCATTAGGGCATATGAAATGAGAAAAAATAGTCAATCCTACAGATCGATTGCTACAAGACCACGTTGATAATTATCAACGATTCATCGTATCATCCAATGGTATAGATGGACGAATACCCTAGTGAGGAGGAGAGCACAAGGCAGAAAAAGGTGTACCTACTTCAAGGAGAGATGACTGTTTTCTACAACTTCAAATTCATCGGAACACGAGACTAACGGCGGTGAAGGCCCGAAATATATTGGAAGAGGTTCGAGGAGTAAGAGTGATTGAGTGTACTGTTCGCATAAGATTTAAAGAAGTCGGTATAGGCTTATAAGTGCCCGCCAAAGCTCCAAAACTTGAGATACCACCGCACAAAACGACTATACTTTGTTCGTATACATCGTCATGGGACTTCGACGAGTGGGGTCGAACGAGGTTCTCTTTACTGATGAATGCAGAATTCACTTAAATCTGATTGATGGAAGGCAGCGAGTATGGAGACGCAAAGGAGAGCGTTATATACAGTCTAATTTTGAAAATACACATAGTCTGGGGAGGGATATGTTTAGGAGCTCGCACGGAGTTGGTGGTAGTCGACGGCGGGAATCTGACTGCTGATTGGTATATCAGGGAGATGTTAGAATGTTCTACTAACATCTCCCTGATTCACCGTGTTGTGCCATTTGCCCCCTTTATTGACAACGACTTCATTCTAATGCAGGATAATGCTCGGGCTCACAGTGCTCGCTCAGTACAGGCATACCTAAACCATGTTGGTGTAACGGTGATGGAGTGGTCAATAATCCTCGGATATGAATCTAATTGAATACGTTTAGGACTTGCTAAAAAGGACTGTCAAATCAAGAATGCCACCTTCCAATAATCTGGGCGAGTTGCGAAACGCATTACTTGAAGAATGGCAGAGGTTGCCCCAAGAAATCATTGACATCATCCGCAGCATGCCCAGACGGATGGAAACCATAATCAGAGCACTCACCAATCGATATTAAACATTCATTTAATTAATTGTAAACCGTCACAAAATCTTAAATTTCTAACTGTTTCTCTGTCATTACCAAATCTAAGAAAAATGCATTTTGTTTACTTTAGTTTTTTTTTCATTAAACTAAGTACGATGTTACAAATTAATGTCAAAACATGTTAATTTAATTGTTGTTTCATGTTTAATTATTATTTGTTTAAAAATAAAATCATTTCAGGCTGTTTGCCGTCCCGGCATAACTAAGACGCAATCACGAAGTTCGGTATCGGGTAGCTCAGCTACTGGGTCACCAACAGAGGAAAGAGCACATCCACCCGTATTTGGGTCTGGTCCTCCTAGTGTCCCTCCACCGGCGCCGTTATCCGCAGCTGCTAGTATCGACCGCCCATTACCGCCGATACCGGCCGAACCATCGCAGCCTCCTCCGCCGCCACTCACTAGACGCGATTCCCAGGGTAAGATAATAGTCTTCTAATAAATATATGATTTGCAATCGAGTCCAATATTTCTAGTCATTTATGTAGTTTAACAAGAAATTTAAAATAGCGTTCACACGTAATATTTCTACTGCTCACAGCTTCACAGTCATCGACGGTGTCTTCCGCGTCAGCAGCCCCGAGCACCACGAGCAGCTCTGCGGCAGGCTTGGGGGCAGCTGCCACTGCAAGCACTAGTTCTGCGGCGGGTCGCGGCGGGTTCGCACGGCAAGGCTCCCTCAGCGCTGCCCTCACTGAAGACGCCGAAGACACGATGAAAAACCTTCGCAAAACCTTTGCCGGTATATTCGGTGACATGTAAAATGTAACAATAAATCAATTATACGGACAATAGACGATGTACTGACATTATAATATACTAATTTTATCTGCCCAAAACCCCGATACGTTGAAGCCTACAACCGATACCCGAATGCGAGCCTTAGTTACCAGGCAATATACTCACTACGCGTCTGTTGCCTGCAGCGTTTACCGATAGAATGTTTAAATTATATATACATACATATTGGTATAGTTTTAGGATATTGACTACATCAAAATTTACAGATAAAGCTGAGAGACTAGAATTTGATTATGAAGGTGTATCAATGAAAATGTTTAAATCGAGTTATTGACCCGACGAAGCAGCCAGCTGCACTTGTTTGTAGAAACTTTGCTATAATCGAGTGCAGATACGGCACAACCGTGTATGAAACAGATCATTAAGCATAGTTTAATATATGATAACGATAGATTTTTACAATAAATTTATATTATAAATATGAAAATACGAATCAACTGAGCTGCATTGTGATCGAACCTGTTCGGTAGACGTGACACGAGCCGCGTCTGCGAAGTAGAATTTATCTGTCTCTGACTCCCTTCTTCACTTGCTGCACCTTCGTAGGAGACCAGTATATTGCAATAAATCGGACGTCTTCTATGAAACACTGTTTATTGATCATTGTTATAAATGTGACAAATATTTTATGGCAATAAATTAATAAAAGCGGGTTATATTTATTGCTTTATTATGTGTATTGATTAACAGTTTTAAAGCTGAAAATCAAATATATTTATTAACATCTAAACCAAGAATTCGATATAACCGTAATTCTGGAAATGAGACATTTCAAAAGTAAATAAGACCATTATACTTAATGTTATGCCTTTTAATCTAAAATTAGAGACAATTGGTATATGAGCAATGCTATTGAAGACAATATTGTTAAACGCATGAATTGATCCACATTTTATATATATTGTACCTTCTCGTAGTTGTACTTCATAGTTATAAGGATATGTCATTATATTTGCATATCTTCGTAATGTGTGAAATCATGCTTCGTTTCTTTCGTCAATACTGTTTATGTGCCACTATATGTATGTCATATAGTATTTAATATGTGCTACTAATATTTATATATATTTTACACATTGTTATATGTAATTGGTTGGATGATATAGTGACAGTTGTTTACAATCAACGAAGCGTGATGAAACGTCATATCAGAAGGGCTCGATGTGCATCTTCACAACTGCATTGCGCTTTCATATAACTACTCAAAGTTTATATCTTATCTTTAGCTATTGCGAAACGTAGACATTTTAATGTGTAGTTTAAATTTATTTAAAAAGCAATTTAGTAGATCATTCATAATTAAATAGTAATGTTTAAGCGTTTTTATTACCATACAAATAAAATTGTAACCGATGCTGACTTGTTATTGTAGATTTTACAACGAAAATAGTAATATATGTATACAAATGTAAGTTAAAAACTCATTACGTTAAGGCAGGGAAATCAGGAGCAAGCGTTAAGTTGTTACAAACCAAACGGAGCCTCGGTTTAGTTTGATGTTACTAGTACCGTCTAGAGCCTCTTTCATAAAGTCCAAATAACGATCATTCACAAGCGAGAGTAACATAACTCGAAGATCTTTCCCATAAGAACAAAACACGTTCACATTAGTTCCAACTGACGTGTTATAAAGATAGGTATATAATATTGGTATGAGAAAAGTGTTATAAATAAACCCATTCCTTCTCAACAAAATTGCCGAAAACATAACCCAGACGATTTGTCAGTATTAAAAAGTCTTGTCGGAATGAACTTTTACAAAAACATGGCGCCGAAGAAGCAATTGGATTTATATTTATAAGAGCCGTTTAATAATCAAAATGGCCACGAAATGAAAGTATATATTTAAGGTCGACAATTAACCAACAATAAATGTGTTTACTCCAGTTTTTACGCCTTTAATGTAGGTTTGTCTACGTATCATCAATTCATAAGTGAGTGGTAAGAGGCATGCATAATTTGAGTGCGAATAGTGTATAACGTTGTGCATAGACCTGACAAAATGTCTGATAAATTTGTGACTGCGATAGTTTTATTAAATCCTATTAATATGAACAGTGTCATTCAAACGCAGAGAAACATGTAAGCAAAATCCAATCGCTGTTTTATCGCTTCGTGAAATGTGTCGCTCGGACATATTGTGAGCTCTTACTTAGACATTATGAAAGGAGGTTATTGTTTTTATTACATATTATTCATTGTTGATGCTTAGGTACTCATATACTCTACTACCTTGGGTACATTTAGATTATATTATTTATTATTCGTATAAGAATGCACCGGTAGTTAGATTATGACACGAATTCCCTTAGTATATCGATAGCCACGATATAGGTAACGTGTACTAATTACGTGTCTATAACTGCGCAATTAGACAATATATTTACAGTTACAGGCACAGTACCTGGGAATTTTAATTAAATTTTTCTTCTTTAATTATTAATGTAATTGCATATTTTTTTTTACTTTGTTTTTTTGAGGTATATTACACCACTAACGATACATTTATTTTTATCATAAAGCGATTTGAAAATTGAATATTTCATGCCAATCAAATAAAATTGAAAATAATAAACAGACTTATAGAGACAACATCCTGTTCAAGGAATTGCATCAAAATGCAGTTTTCACTTATAAATACTCGTAACACGTAATGGAGACAAATTACACAAACAAAAATTGTAACCCAATTTCTCAGTCAGCAATTGGAAAGGCTTGAAACGTTCATTACTTTCAAACAATTTAAACATAGTAAGACGCTGTCTGTCTTATTATCACCAATTATATTTTCTAAGCGATAAAATTGTATCGTTTGTGGCTAGACCGCTAGTTTAAAGTTTACCTTATTTTACTACTATAGTTTAAAAAATTGACATTTGTTATTGTTAAGAATATAAAACTCAAATTAATATAAATGCTGTTGTTGTTGTTACTAACAAGTTATACAATATTTACTCAATACGGAAATGATGGATAATCTTATAAGATAGTCACGGTGAGGGATGCGACTCATGTCACGAAAATACCCCTCACCGAGTTGTCTTTTATATCGTGACTTAATCTTCTATAGGTAATATAAACGGACATGGCGCGTCACAGTATCAATAAAAAAATTGACCTTAGCTGATTTTACGCGAACGCCTATTAATATTGAGAAATGCTTACATTAAAAGATGAACTGTCTTGAAATTGCAATAGAATGCGGTTCATCGAATGTGACAGCCATGTCCCTGTTCGAATGGAATATGTTAATGGAATTTGAATGCATGTTAATCTATATTATAAAAATAATAATAAATACCTCTTTTGGTAAGTCAATACCGATGCTTTTTACTTTTCTATCCCGTCGTGACGCTGACTCAGAAACAAGTCTTTGTCCGCTTCAGTATGTACCAGATATGTTATGGAATTGCAAAGGTCCTACCAACCGAAAGAAAGCGAGTCTGGTAGTCGAAAAATGTAGTCTGCTTTTGGAGAAGCCGCATTGTTTTTACAAATAGAGAAAATGATCTACATGTTAAACGAGAAATAAATAATAATATAGTTACCAACAGATCATTTTAATAAATTGCAAGTCTCGTAAAAAGATATTATTAAATTATTATTAGTTACAAATTCTTTAATGACGATGAAAGATGACATTACGCTAAGAATGTTATATTCATATTATTGAGCGCAGCTAAAGGAAAATTAAGATAAGTGTGAATTTAACTAGGTATATTGTAAAGTAAAGGAGAACTCCTCAATTTATTATCACTTGAAATCTGAAATTGACATTTGAAGTGCTTATATATATATATAAAAACATTTGTCAAAAAAAGTGGTTATCAATTGGATTTAGGTGACAAATATTATAACAATAAAGTCTTTCAAGAAATTAACATAAAAATATCATGATAAGCGATAGTGTATGTAGTTTTTAAAAAAGTACTTTACTAGAATTTATTTACTTCCTCTAATTTAAGCTAAAATTTTAAAGCTCTACGTGTACCTTATATATATTAAGTAAACGTACATTTCTATGTATGTACATGTACTACTACAACTATTCTGTAGATTACGAGTCCCAGTAATCGCATGCAATTGATATATGTAGCTAAAATCTAAAAAATCTGTACCTAAATCATTTCTCTCTCACAGGGTTACCGGGTAAGTTGATGGCAACTACAACTCCTTAAAGTATTTAGGTCGACTTACCCAGTAACCCTGTATATGATTTTCGAAAACGAAAAAGACTTATCGACTTCTTGAGTTTTTTTAAAATACAACAATGGTACTTTCTACTAAAATATTAGTCATTCTTATAACAAGTTGGTACTACACGTAACAACGTATACAACTTATCCAGTATCTTAAAAATTTCAAAGGATAACTTGTGTTGATTAATAGGAGTCGATTTTTAGACCTCGTCGACCCCGAAAATCAGATTTCGTTTATGTCAACCTTCGGGAAACCGATTTCGACCAAAAGGGATTGATATCTGACCACTTTGGGAATTATGAACATTTTATATAAAAATTGTAACTACTGATATCAGATAGGTCAATTCTATTTCATGTACATAATATAAGTCGAATATACGTACATTTAGGCATGACAAGACGTCTACTTAACCAGTTAGACATATAACATAAAATTTCATTAATACAATAATATAACGTAACGTAACGTTAAAACGTTTACACAACAAAAATTAAGTGTAGCCCGGGGGATCCATGCCAGTGTTCAAACTATAATTCCGGTACATGCCAGCGGCGGAGAGCCGGTTGGTGAACGTCTGCCCGGCTGGGAAGAATACGGATGGGACCGAATATATACCTGCAATCATTAAAAACATTTAACCTACAAAGCGAGATAGATCTTAGTACAAATTTTAATGGGATATATCTAATGTGAGGGTCTGACCATCCGTAAGTAACTCTCACTCTGATATCTAAGTGATTTTATACCCAATTTCTATAAATAATTCCAAACTGCCAGACGTCTCGTGACCGTTTTTTTTTTCAAAAGAATGCAGAAATCAGAATTCGTTACACAATTCGGCAGAAAACCTTATTTAACATTTGATACTCCTATAATACAACAAATCTTTCCTTTGCATATTAGTTTATTATTAGGCTTCATCTCGGTAAGGTCGTCAAAAACCATAATTGTAAGAGCGAATATTAAGTGGTTAATTAGAATACGGAGGCCAGTGGAACAAAGGTCGTTTTTCTAGTATTGTGTATATATGTAACATATATGTGTTGTAGACGAATAAAAATAGGTGTAAAATATACAATGCATGCCAAAAAAGCAAATGAAACTAGTCCTACAGTGTACCTATAGGTTAAAGACTATTGCGCCCCCTAAATAAATTATGATTTTAATAACAATTATTAAAAAAAATCGGTTGTCTGTTTACTGACGATAGTTGAACGTGACAACGTCATAAGAAAATACTGATGGTTTTATAATGGTTGCATTTTACGAAAACATGTAAATGTATTATTGTATAGCATCGCAGCATCGCAGAGACAGATGTCAAACGCTGCCGAAGGCCGATTGTGCCTCTTTGTCGCTCGTTCCGCGCTCTCGCTTGCACTTCAAACCTTAAATGGAACGCCTCAGAGCGAGGTAACGCCGCATGAGTCATGTTTTTTCGAGCGTGCAGCCGGCTCCATCGAATTATAAGACGTTGTCACGTCAAAAGCAGGAAGCGGCTACTATTTTTAATTATACCACTAAATTAAAAGCTCGTCAAAAGCTTTTTAAAGCACTGTTTTTATTCACTTTAACTTCAACGGACCCAGGTCGTGCATAGCCGCGACGGGGAGGTACGGATCTCTCCGACTTTGACGGCGGAGATGGGTCTTCTCCCTGCCGTTGCTGTGAACTCGGCGACCTCGACTTGGGTGATGGACTCCTCCAAGTCCAACACCCTGTCCTACACAGACGCGCAATAATAGCGTCCGTGCTGGACAGTACCTCCGTCCCCGTAGTCCGTAGTCTCCGTCCCCGTTACACTCCCGCCGCTACTTGATGCGCCCTCCTTGACCGCAAAACCTTGGTGGGCCGGCTTGCTTCAGCCGATCCCTTCGGTTTGCGCTTGCGGACATGGGATGACCGCGAGGAGACAGAGCAAAACGACGAAGCGTCGCTATCCCCAGAATCCCCTCGCTGCTACCCCATTCCTTGGCCTTCCACAGGCTCTGTTGTTGGGCGCTCGATTGTTGGCGCCCGCCTACTTCCTAGTTCTCCCGTCTGGGCGGGGGGCCCCCGGTCTCGGCTTTCGGGGCCGTTACCCTCCTGGGGTACTATTTTTTTTTCTAGTCGCATCCATTTTGTTACTAGCTCTTAAACGTGAGCTAACGTTTAAAAGTGTTGTTGCCCTAGTGGCTGGGATACCCCACCAGCCGTTAACATCTTCGCCGGGCTCCCTCAGCTTGGGTTAGGGGTAATTTTTTATAGAGGTTTTCTTCCTCGCGGCCTTCTCTACTTTCCTCCCCATTCGAGAAGACCCCCCTCCCCCCCTTCCGATTGCTCGGAGTTTACGGGTATGGCCGATCGGTTACCGGAGTTCCACAATGACCCCCACCATTTACTCCATGCGGACCTTTTGACGGCAGTAGCAGCCGACGTAGCTCTCGCACGTGCCCTCTGCGTGACAGAAGGACACGTGGAGAGATAACCCTTGGTATGCGGCCTAGGCCACCCTACTCTTGTAGTCTTTTACTGAGGTTTTCTGCTCTTGGTCAGTCTCCTATATGGAAAAAAGACCCCCGCTTCCGATAAGTCGGCGTCTGCGAGTCGGGCCGGACGGTTGCCGGTGTTCAGCATTGACTGCCAGTTAATATCTTTGCTTAATGCGAGACTACCGACGGCTGTCCCGTCGCCCCTCTCGCAACTGTTAGGCCACACTCCCCGTGCCAGGGGCCACATTGGCCGAGCCAGTAACATAATGTCGCGTGTACCGCCTTTCGCATGCAACTGTTGGTCGTCGCATCGGACGCCGTGGTTTGGTGTGTTTTCCCCCTGGGGGGGTAATCTGTGGTAGTAGTACCACGCGAAGAAAATTATTGCATAGAACTGCATAGAAAAGTCATTATATTAGCCTCCAGATTGAGTGTGAGTAGAAACGGTGATTGTACGTGTTAAGAGTGATTACGAACATAAAGAATTTCGAGTTAATAGCCTGTATAAAGTTGCGTCATGACACTCATGACAAAAAAATATCCAGGATAGAAAAACTCCAGTTCTAATATAACAGAAAGTAATATTCTTACTTGTTGTCAATATCCTATAGCTACATATGTTTTACCATGGCTATACTCGTATATGTTGACCGCACGGATGGCGTAGCGGTTTAAGCGGTCGCCATGCCGCTGATACCTAACTTTTCAATCGATCACTCTACTCGTTACCTTTTAAGCCTCTAAGAAAGAGAACATCTGTTAAAAGAATTAAATATAAATACATATTTAAATGATAAAGGCGGCTTTTGTCGTTGGCGCTGACATGATGTCGGTATATTCCACCATATATTGTCAGCGCCGACCGCAAAAAAGAGCTGTTAACATTTACACGTTCATATTACTACGTTATAATTAAGTTGTAATTTAGTTATTACTTGTAGGGACTTTATATTCAGCCCCATCGTACTTAGGTATGATGGGGCTGAATGTCCAATCGTATAGTCCCTAATAATAAATCAAAAAATTAACAATTTGAATATTTCATTCAATTTTTCAAATGATTTAATTACAATTTTTCCAAAAAAAAATAAGAATTATACGTATAAGACGATATATGTTTACCCACGATGAATAAAATTATCCATGTATAATTTTTATTATACGCAAAACATTGTTTTAAATCCCGAACAAGATGACTTGTGTAAATACTGATTTCGTTAATTCTCCGTTATTTTCACTAAGTTATCAATTTTATAATATTAGAAAAAAACTAAGAAATTGAACTTATAAAAATACAAGTTTACATCTTAAGGCATAAATTAAAAGCGTGTTTATTTTAAGAGTAAGTCTATTTTGTTAGTTACTACGTGTTTTCCACAAGCATGTGCAAATACTGAAGTCATGCCGATGAAATACTTATTCCAACAACACGTCGCACATTATCTGTATAAACGATGATCAAGAGCAGTATTGAGGGAATAATTCCGATACATGCCAGCTTCCGCCAATCGATTTGAAAAGTCTTGATTCTTCGGAAAAAACACAGTTGGTACCGAATGAAAACCTAAAATATGAAAACCAATACCAAGTATATGATAGTGCATAAAGCCACTCTATCAATAGATTTATAATAAAATTAAGTGTACTTCATTTGGCTATTTTGTGATAAATGTAATATTTTGTTAGACCACTTACCTCTGAAGTAATATTTCTTATGAAATCGTTTTCAGCTTTATAAATTACAGCTTTTAAAAAAATAAAAATATCGAATAACTTATTCGCCACTTATTGACAAGTAACGTGTAATGAAAGGTAATTTGCAATAAAAAGTTTCTTACACAAAAAAATATTTAATTTCTAGCTAATAACAGAAGCTCCCGACACGTAATAATAAGTTTTAGAAAATGTCTCTGTCGTATAAAATATATCAATATATTATGTTGCATGCAATATGATATATGATTATTTTGAATCATCAGATTGAACGATTTTATTTCAATATTATTTACAATAGATACTTCGTTGTCACTACTACTACATTATACGGCTTACGAGGATAAAGCACAGCGTTCAACAGCTAAGATATTTTATATATATATATATAATATATTTGATATACTTTAAATTAATATTGACTTAATTTTTTTCTATGTACTGCCCAAGTACTAAATGATATCAAAGTTCTGTAGTTAGACAGTTGTCGAACTTTTTAGGTCGCCACTACCCGTGACGATTGCCACAGATGTTGGTATGGCAACCGGGACCGACGACTTAACGTGCTCTTCGAGGCACGGACGGAGTCTTAAAAGTGTTACCAATGGACACCCATTCATAGATTGACCTGGCTACGATTGTTTAAATTTGAATTGTGCTTAACGTCGACGTCGTCTAAAATACTGTGTGATATTTAATTATTTATAGAATCTTCGATATTTTCAGTATAAAGTCCTTTATATAATACATTGATTCGAAAAATAAATTGTTCAGTCGTGAATAAATTCCAAAGCGAACAGATTTATGTAAATTGATAATGATTACCTGGAGGATACCACCCGTATTCACTGGAGGATGTTCTATAGAACGGATGTTGTTTACTAACTTGACATCCATATCCGTTGAACCAATCTGAAAAACAAAAATAACTTTCTTAGAATTTATTTTTCGTCTCCGCTTTTTAAATAGCTATAAAAAGTAAAGGAATTAATTACCTATACTTATAAGAAAGCTTTCTTCAGCAAATGGCATAATGCAATGGTAATAAACAAAAAAAGGACCAACAAAGCCAAGATTAATATTTTTTACAAACAAAACTATTAAGCTATAAAATATTAGTTTAAACGTGAACACAGACTACTGAGTTCCAATTTTCTCTCTTATTACCTTAATTTACCAAATTGGTGTTAGTTATGATGTCATTAAGTAAAGATTTTGAAAAAAAACTATGTTTAGCAATTTATTGTAAAATCGTTCGGCCCTAAAAGTTTATTTCAAGTCTGAAGGATTTAGACTAAAATAAGTACCTAATCCATAAAAAATATTTATTTAAAATTATCGTTTTGAAAATTATCCTTAAATAGTCGTCGACGTTAACTGACCTATTTATTTATATACTCGTAGTTATAATTCCAATTTAGAATGTATAACTTCTAATAAAAATTTGTTCCAATGAATCTAATTTTATTTTCATATTATCACAATGTTTGAGAAACAAAAACACTCTGTAATAAATTATTCAACGCTTATAATCCTACTGATAAAAAGTGTCACTGAGGCTCCTTCCCTTTATTCATTATTGATTTGATGTAAAAACCCGCATCGCCTTTTCAACGAGCACAGGGATCAACGACACTGTCTTGTTTGTGGTATCACAATTTAGGTATTTATTGGCATTCTAGATTGCACTTCTTGTCGTGAATAATTTAACAACAAAGATAATCTATTAATATCTTCTTAGATGTTCTGAAATGATGAATGAAATTTCATATTTGTATCAAGTTGATAAACATTAATAAAAACTCTTCAGAAAATACAATATGTTAATTCCTCCGATATCCTCGTCGATAGTCAGTCAATATAAAATATATTCAATTCGTAGAATGTTTTCATCGTCTATATTTTTACATTATATAACTATTATATAGTTAGTTGGTGCCTCTTAAACAGAAAGTAAATTATAAATTCGACTCGAGCGTCGAATACAATTTGATTAGGTAAACCTTCTTTTCAAAACTTTTGATGGAATAATTACAAAGAAATAAACGAAAAAGAATAAAGGTACCTTAAAATATTTGATAAAAACCACAAAAAAAAAAGATCGCACTTGTAGCAGTTTGTTTTTTTTTTCGGGTAGCAATTATGAGTATTCTTATTTTTATGGAGATTAACATTTTCTTACACAATTAAGTACTTAGTTATTGTTATATACGTTCAATCCTATTCTACTGAGAATTAGACAGTTTCTAAATAAATCTTTTTGTTTTATACCAAACGGTTATTATTCAAATCTACTGTTTTGGAATATAGGAAATCTGTCTAAAATAAACTTAGAATGTTTACGGTTTTGATTATGGTCACATAAATTAAAATTCTAATGTAAAAACTCTTAACGAGTTATTCTTATGTTACGCTTGTCTTGCTAATTTATAATAACATATAGGTTTTGTTAGGAGAAACAAGATGTTTTTCCTAAAGTGGATTCAGGTATTGTATGATTAAAGAGCTCAAGACTACACTTACGTGGATGTTCGAATCTCTTGGGAAGATTGCAAGTAAGGAACTTGTCCGAAGTCTTTATTTCTGGTTTACTAATTTCATTTTGAAGGCTTTCCCGATCAACGCAGGTTGCAGAACAAAATCCTGGCTTTACCTTAGAAGGGTCAATGATTTCGTTACCTTTATCTTCGCTCATTGTTCATCAAAATATTGAAAGAATATCGACAAACTAGGCAGAAGGTATCGAGAAGTTTCGGCATCGAAATAAAAATGATATTTGAGTTCGCTATGGCAATTGATCTACAAACAAAACCGTTGTCTTGACAACTTGATAGGTTCGTTTAGATTGGAAACGATTTTTTTATATTTTCATTCAGGAAAAAGAAACAGGAACAATGAAATTCAAAATTATGTATGTAGGTATTAAAAAAATATCATCAAATTATTAACTGTGCGGTATCGATTGGTCTAAGTATATTTTTATGTATCTTCTTGTTATTCTCAGCCGTTCTCAACCATTTTGGTAAAGACCTCCTTTAGACTAAGCTATTTAAGATGGTCATGCGCTACTACTAACCAATTCTTCCCTATAGTTTTCTTGATGTTATTCGTCTATCGCATTTTGGGGTTTGCCGTAAATTTTCTTTTTTCAAACCAAGATCTTCATTCCAAGACCGCTTTGCCCCACGATCCATGTTTACGAGCTATGTCCTGCCCACTGTTACATTATAAAAGCATATAGCTCCTATGATGCCCATATGTTGGTCGAAACAGGGGTTAACTTACAGCTAAGATAGTGTCGCGCAATAATTAAGCAGCTCTTCAAAAAACACGAAGCTTTATCGGAGTTCGATACTAAGGATGTAAGGCTCGACGTTTATTGAACAAATAAAATTTAATTGGGACCACTTGCGAATTATACCATTTGAAACAAAAAAAAGAATTTTCCAAATCGGTTCAGACATCTTCGAGTAATCGGTGAAGATACATTTAAAAAAAAGATTCAGACGAATTGAAAACCTCCTCCAATTTACCAAACTCCTTTAAGAGCCATTAGTCATAAGGTTACGTTTGTATTTCATTAGTTTCAAAACAGGGTTACAGTGTCAGTATTCTTAACAATGCTCAATCAAAGAACGAAGTACCATTATGTATATAGATCAGACATGCTCGTACACGCAATTTCTAAAAAAGCACCATTAAATATCAATTCTTTTATGCATTACTAACATAAACACCTAAAATTAAGTATTTGTGCTCTTTGAAAATGTAAAGAAATAAAATTATATCATTTGTTGGAAAATAATAGATTGCACAGCTGTAAATTTCTCAGAACAGCTTGGCACTAAATATTTATTGTTCTCTCAATAGTTTTATGGATATAATAAAATTGCAACCTGACTGACGTCTTTTGTGGAATGTGTAACGTTGTGTATGCTATTTAAAATTTGTCTGTATCGATCATTTTAACGAAATATGAATCTTCAAAATAGAACCATAAACATAACATTGAATATCTACAGAACTTTTTTGTGCTCATTTAGGTATTTTCTATTGTTTTAATATTTTTGGTACCTATGTCCGTTGGCCTTAATCTCATTCAACGTACAATCGAATGAATATATTAGTCGTTATCGCTATTATCACGACGTACCGACATTAAACGAGTGGGTGACTATCGCACCTCCTGCCACCACACATCGTCACACTCCGTTCGCTACCGACTGCTAGTAATTAAATAGTTTAAAGTTTTAACAATGTGTATTTTTAAAATATGTGGTCATAATTGCGTTTAATTGCGTGTTTTAAGTTATGGTTGACAATGTTTTATTTTTCTAAAGAGAGTAGAGTTTGATTGACGATATCATTGTCAAATGAACTGAGTTTCTTCTTTTTGGTCAGATATAAACATAAACAAATCAAAATAAATCAACAATCTATAAGTGTATTATATTATATAATTATCTTCGACGTTGTAAAGTAGTAAAAAAAGACAACGTGTTCAAATTCTTGTAGAAAAACAGTTTAACCTTGCTTTATAATGCACACGATCAGTGTACAACAACCCATTAATTTAAAAGTTGTGAGATTCGAACTGGATTTCACTTCGCTGGTGAATGAAAAGCCTATCTTGGAGAAAAGGTCGAAGAAAATTAGGATACCAAGAATCAACAACAAAAAGCAATCTGCGATACCGTCTCCACCACCTATACATGATACTTCACAGGTATGTAATCGCTATTCAAATATAACAAAAATATTGGAAATACAACATTCGTATAGAACAGATAGGTAAATGTTATTATACCAAGCAATTTGGGATCTGAATCCGGCTGCCTTCTGATAAAACAAATTGAAATCTAATCGCAAGAAATATTTAACTTTTGGTACAAATTTAAATAATAAAAGACGACAAAGAAGATTGAATGTAGATAATAACTATAGAATTTTATTTTTTGGCAAACTTTAGATTTACGTGCCGGGAAATGGGCATCCTAAATATTGTTACCATACGAATAACTACTAAGATTCGTTTTTGTTTCTTGTCGTTTTCTTCGTTATTAAGGTCGTGCCCGTCATAGATAAAACACTATAGGTGCCCGTCGTGATAAGTCTTGATCTTATGTTCTGGTTTTAGGCCATAGATAAGTCGATCCAAGTCTCTTTCCAATAGCTTTGCCCATAACAACAAGTTTGTTGACATTATCCAACCGTATTCGAGCCACGTAACAAAAGTAGCTAAGTACGTATGTATTGACAGCAAATGGATTTTAATATTCAACTGTTGAAGAATAGATTTGTTTTTTTTTTATGCTCAACATTTTTCTGCAGTGATTCACATTTTAATGTAGCGGTCTTCATCTTAGCTGGCTCTTTAGTCTAGCTTATAACGCAAGGCATTTGAGTTTGTCAATCAATTTTCTCTTAGATTTCTGAAAGACAAATTCCTTGACAAAATCTAGTTCTGATAGCAGTCAGGTCTTTCAGAATAGGACAAGCTTGATTAAAAGGCCCACTGACTTGTTCTTAACTCGTCCTCCACTCGCATAATTCTTTAGTCAATTCATCCACTGATACTTTACTTACCCGGAAGGTATTTTAAAATTAAAATATCAAATTATGTTTTTATTAACAGAAAAGAGATGTTAAAGATCTGGTCGAAGAATTGCTTGACGAGCTGTATGCAGAGCAACGTGATTGGGGCAATCAAAGTGCAATCGACGGTAGCCGGGGGTAAGTTTGGCTGCAAAACAAGCTCAATTTCTGTGTAGGATTCGTGTGTCATTTTTATAGTAATTTTCGTTACCCACTATTTAAACCAGATTAATAGCCGCTGCTTTGCTTCTATAGATCGTAGCGTAATGTTAAAATAAACTATAATTAATTTACAATAAATAAATATGATTGATATATTCAGAAATTTTGCGCAACGACGATAACTATGAAGTTCCTAATTATCATCCGACTTTACGAAGTATGAAGCTAATGTCAATTATCAATCAATAACTTTAATATTATTTCCATCCGAGTAAAGAATTAAAAGCGTGTTCTGCTGAGATAACAACAATGCTGTGATTTTTGAAATGAAGGGAGCCAATGTCAAGTAAATTTTAAACTTTCGGGTACATATGATTTCTATTTCTAGAGTAAGCGCGATCAGTGTAATACATACATTTGAATTGTCTGTTGTTTCCACCAGAATGCACTGGTCGTTGTGACAGGTTCACCTGTCTACATGTATGTTAAGGTATATATCATTGATAGCGTTAATTATCGAATAAAGGTCAATAGCTTCGTTTGCGTACGGTACGCGACTGCAGTCCATGAGGCCTCGGGTTCGATTCCCGGGCTGGGTAAAATTTTATAGGGTTTTTTGGAGAGGAAAATAGCCTAAGTTACTCCTTATATAGACAGCTACCTGGTAGTAATTTTTTATCAAAATCAGTCCAGCCGTTTTGAAGATTACCCGGAACAAACAGACAGACAGACAGATAAAAATATTTAAACTGGTTTTTAGGCATAGAGTAGCATGCAAATAACTATGTGAGGATGGAAAACCCAATTATTTTGACATTACAAACAGACTTCAATTTTTAATCCCTGACGGAATACGAGGGGTGTTATAAATTTAACCTACATATGTATCTGTGTATCTGTCTGTGGCATCATAGCTCCCGAACGGATGGACTAATTTGGATTCGGCTTTTTTTGTTCGAAAGCCGATTTGATCCAGATGGCTCTTAGCTATAAAGTTTGAAGGTCATCATCTCACTTCCTAGGTGATGAAGAGGTCTCACTGAAAGCCACAGATCCGATTGATCTGAAATCTGATATACTGTTACTTGGATGGTATTGCTACGACATGGTAACCTGAAAAGTCCTCAGAAAATTACAGCATATATACCATGTTTGAGCTTATTAGAACAGTCTCAATGAGCAGTTGTTGTCATTTACTGAAGCTATAGACGTCTTTTTAAGTTTTTTGTGTAAGATTTTGTTAAATTTTTAAGTTAATTGTATCAATTATATTTATTTGTATAGATTTATAGGCCCGCGCCGCTCCTGCCGGCCCCCTTGGAAGCTGCTTCCAATCACGTAGGGGTTATTAATGTGCAGGAATAGGTGTCATGTCCCTCCAACACAAACGGGGGATCCTCTGCCTAGGCTTGATGATCATGCCTGTCGGGCCAAGGCCCAACCGTTGATGAATGGAATTTATATATATGCTAATCGGCGAAAGAATTGTTAATATCACATTACAACATTAGCAGTTACTCCGTAGTTCGGTATGTCTTCGTTAAATGGCGCGCTTGTACTTTCCATGTATGTGGATGTTGCCGCAAACCAATAATGGAACGTGTTTATGGAAGCAGTGTTAGGCCCGTATAGGCAGGTGCCTATGCGACGGAGGCGGCGTGCGCCTTGGCCGATACTTCCCCGTGAGATTTGGAGGCGGAAGTGCTTGCCGAAGTATATAGCAGTCAGTCCCCACCCGAAGAGATACGCGTGGCGTGAGGCCGCTCGCTGAGCCACGATGGCTCGTTGGTCGTCCCAGCTGGAGGCTCCACGTGCTGGCTTTTGCCACCGTGGAGGCGTTAGAGCCGGTCATCGTCGAACGGGCAGGACGGCAACACGGGACCCTTTCCTTTCGGCTGACTGACTGACGACGACTGACTTCTCAAAAATTGCATTCGATTGATCTTCAACCTCCGCAAGTACGACCATGTGTCTGCCTATCGATCCCAGCTGTCATGGTTACATATACGTCAGCGCCGTAGCTTGGCAGGATATCAGCACATCGTGACACGTTCAAAGCTAAAGTCCGAGAATTGTACAGGAAACAGCTAGCAGAAATATCATCATGATTTCGTAACCTCAGACATTATTGTATTTATTTTATTCTGTATATATTTATTTATGACATATTATAGTAGAGGAAAACCGAGAATTTCAAAGATGTGTCGAATAAAACAAGTTTTTTACATTGCAAACGCTGGCTAAACCTTACGAGAAAGACCAAAATAATGTACTATGGAATTGTGTATCTTAAAAAGATATACAATAAAAGTTCGCTATGATATATCATCATTAGGAGATAGACATATAATGTCTATCTCCTAATGATAAACCACAGTAACCATTTACATCTTATAAATCTTTAAAAAAAAATATGGCTTATTTACCAAGCTATTTTAAAGAATACATTATTATTCCTTATCCCAAAATATCCCTTAGATACGTTGTGTTTAATGTAGATTAAAATAGCTCTATGCTGCATATTTTCAAAATGAATGTTTTAAAAGATATAAGAGGTTTAAAATCTGGTGGCTGTCACGTCGCTGTGTTCGCCGTTGGGCCGTACGTCCGTCCCGGGTGGCAACGGATGGCAGGAACGGAGCGGTATAATTACTAGCGATCCGCCCCGGCATCGCACGGGTGATACTACTAATACTACTAATGGTCTATGCTATCTGTTTAAGTATAAATACGAATCAAAGGACTATTTGAAGCTATGCGCCAAGTTTCACATTCTCCCTCTCAGCATACGGCGTGAAAGAGTAGACGTAACGTTTCTAATGGGGATAATATCGGGGAGTAGATTGCCCCAATCTACTTTCAAAAATCACTTTTAACGTTAATACAAAAGTGTTTTTTGTTGTCGTGGTGGAAAATCCCTACGAAACTCTTGCTCCTCGGGGACTCAGGAGTCAAGAGCACGTGGTGATTCCACTAAAAACCACCCCGACGGCCTGCCTCAGGTGTCCTAATCTGGGAGGACACGGACCATGTTATTTCAGGTCCTCCCCGAATTAACGAATACCTAATCAGGCCCTATCCCAGGAGAAAACACTTTCCTCCCTCAATCACGGCCCCATTGCGTCTTAATGAAATCAGGCTGCTATTTTATCCCCTACCGCAGCTAAACGAAACGTGCCAGGACTGTAGCCGCCTCCGACGATATGTTGCGCTATCCCCGTACGATCCGAACGGCTGCTATCCGCTGCGCTTGATTGAGCTTACCTCGGCAGCGGGAGAAGTCTTCCAAGATCAAATAAATAAATGTGGAGTTAGGAGTTAGATGATACTTTAAGATGCAGATATAGAAACCAGTAACGTACAGGAATGAAAAGACTTGCAAAGCTGAGGGTTGGATTAGCAACCTGCGCTACATACCTAGCTTGTCTTAGTGTTCTAATTAAATATTTATAATTAGTGTTAACCGTTGCTTTTTATGGCTTTGTGTGGCTCTAAGTCGCAAAGAGCAACACCGTCATTATGCCATCTTTACGCGACTTAGCACAACGTAAACATTGTCTTCGAGAATTTAATATAATAGGACCCTGGAGTTTATGCACCGTAAATGCCCAACTGAGGATTAGCAGTAGCATTCTTCGTTCAGCAATGTGCCAATGTATACATTGGCACATTGTTGGAGCACTTGATATACAAGTATTTTATAAAAACTGAATCGGGTAACTCGCCTGATTTTATTTGATCACAGTGAAGGGCAGGCCAGGCCCTTTCGTAACAGAAATATTGCGTCTCAACATAACTCTGGAGCCTATGCCCAGTTTCAATACGTGCATCAAACCACCACAGTTATTCGCATCAGTAGTAATAACATTTGAAGGTAGTCGTTTTACGTAGGTTGCTACCTCTCGCGACTTACAAGAAGTATTTCAACTTACTACGCAGGTTCATCATCATCATCATCATCAACAGCCCTTAACAGTCCACTGCTGGACATGGGCCTCTCCTTAGAAAGGAAGAAGACAAGATGTATTTCAACTTACTACGCAGGTTACTACCTATAATTATTTACACCAAAAATGGAAATAAACAATCTTATAAAAACAATAATTGAACCGATTTTTAAAAAAAAAAACACCAAACAAAAACTACCTACCTAAAAATACTAAAAAGCGAAAAATAAACTGAAATATTTAAATTATTAAAAAATGTGCAAATCATAATGAAAATACAATATAGTATATAAGACAATATCACAAAGCGAAAGGAACTTCGTTTTAGGTCCATAGACCCCTCGCGCCGTGTTTTATATATAGTATTTCAAATTCGTTTTTGAAAGTATACGTCGTTAATGTTTCGTGTTGTTTAGGAAGCGGTAATTCCACGTAGGAACTCATACTCGTATTCGAAAATTATACGAATTTTCAGTTTATCCATGGCCCCAAAATCTACCACAAACTCACAAAAGCAAAACATTATCTAAAACAAATGACTGAATTTTAAATTAAAATAACATGGCTTTCGAGTAAAATTGATTTGAATTTCAATCAATTTTACCCGAAAATCCAATCCACAGATAATTAAATCTGAAAATGCTGGTATTAAAAATCTCCAACTTCGTAGGTAAAGATCTATTACAAAGTGTTACCCGACATGGATATTAAAATGCAACACATCACACATTAATTTAATTATATAATTAATTATCATAATAGCATTAATACTAGTATGAATTTAAATTAACCGCGTGCTTGAAAATTATCATGCGAATGTACTGATAAAAAACATTAAAATAACACATTTAGGTAATAGGCAATTGTAAAATATTAGTTCCAGTACTTCCAGTTCATAAATTTAGGTTAGTTAGGTTTCTTTAATTTCAAAGTTTTTTCATCTGTTCTACAAATAATTGTATATGAAACGCAAACTGGCATGACATTACGTCATCAGGCCAGTATAATTGTAATTTTTTGAATTTTATTTCCTATCGAGTATTTCACTTAAATACGTAGGTACATTAACTTGATTAAAGGTTTTGGTTTCTGTACAGGCAGAAAATACAAATCTACCAAGAGAATAAGTTCTTTTATGTCATAATTTAAGAATTTTACTGTCATATTACGGAATCGTATCGATGTAACATGTGGTTATTGTTCCCTCCCCTTCACCCGTAGAGATAGTAACTCATTTTTTTATTTAGAAACCAAATCCTATGTATTTTGACGAAACCACTACTAAATATGAATATGCCTCTATAATTTTCTTTATAATAATTCTGTCGAAGAAAATGGTCAAAATCTGACAAAAATGGTCAATATTCGTCAAAATCGGCCAAAATGAGTCATAATATTATTAATTTACTAGACCTTTTGCATCAACAGCAGTTCTATATTTTGAGCATTTTAAATGAATTAACAAACACACACAAACCCCATACCAACCCGTCTGGCCAGCTTGGTTTAGTAGGCCAAAACCTCCTTTCTAAGGAAAGGGTTATGTCCAGCTGTGAACTATTAAAGGCTGTTGATGATGTGATGTGATGTGATTCCCAAAGTAGGCTATATAGAGCGTATAGGGAAAATCAATGTTGTTGGCTGTTGCCAAAACTGCCATGTTTAATAAGGAATAATAATAATAATATTTACTTTAATATCAGAAGGTGTAATATTTGCTTGATCCATGTTTTAGAACATTTTTATCAAAGGAGGCATGCGCGGTTTTCATGTTAATTAAAAATATACGGTTTTACTCACATGTGTATACCGACGGGTGGAACTACCTTCCACTCGCTTCACTTCTTCACTACAATCTTTATATACCTATAAATACCTAAAATATTGTTTAAAGAATCTGTAAAACTGAGTTTAACGTCATACTTTTATATATACTATAAATCTCGTCTCGTCTATCTTTACTCCCGGCAAAGTAGGTAGATTTTTATCCAATCTTTCTTACCGCATCTCAATAATCATAACAGAATAACATGCATATGTTTAGACCTATGAGAGTAATGTCGTTTAAGGAAGTCTAGGTATAACAGAATCAACACCATAGTTTAAAAAAAAAGTGATAATAATAATAATTGGTTCTTATAAAAACACTAGACAAACAGCTGCATTTATTTAAAAAGCATGTGTATACAGTTAATTATAATCGCTATTTCATTAATAATATAGCAAATAATCTGCAATAATTTAATACATATTTACTGCTGATTGTATAGGACACACGCATAATTCACATATTCTGTCTTGCGGTGTTTTATACCCTTCAATCACTTCGATATATTTACTAACCGACTACAAGGAAATATATGCAGGTAAACATACAGTAAGAATGTTAATGTATAATAACCTCATAAAGATGATGAGAATTATAAACGTATTAGACATCACTTTATTGAAATAAAATTACTGCTTGATGTAATTTTAAAATATAACTTTATAAAATTCACATTATAAGTTCATTACAAACAATTATTTATTTCAGTCGACCACGAATGTACGTAAGAACAATACGTAATGTAATCGATTACGGTAAATCACAGCCGTACGGCATAAATAAATTTGTGGGCTAAACTGCATTTTTTGTCTTTTATAAATATAAAAAGAAAAGATTATCATTACAATACTATTGTATAAAGTCTCAGCAGCAAAGAGACGAGGGACAACGGCTATTCTGCCAAAATACTCTAAAAAAGTAATTTCCACTATCTATCTATCTATCTATCTATCTATCTTGGTAAATGTAAGTTTCTACAAATGGATCTTCTTTTTGTCGGTTGTTGTCTGTTTTGCCTAAAGCTGAAGGTACCATCATTTTAAATTGTTGTATGTCACTTTGCTTGTTGTTTTGTTTACCTCTCATTAATGGATAAGAAGAATTCTCTTATTATTGAGTATATATTCTTTCATAACAGGGCTTTAATAGGTTGTTGGGACTTGCGAGGCCTTGTGGGTTCTGCTCGCGGTCAATCGGCTTACCTCTGGATAAGATTGAATCTGTGTTAGTCACACAGATATTCGATCCTTAAAATCAACCCTACTAGCTAATCTTTTCAAATGTGCTTGCCTAGGCAGTACAAACTTCAAGTCTCACGAATGCAGGTCATTGTTATCAATCATTTTTATTAAAATATTTGACATTATATTTTACCATTATATGTTTGCTTACGCCAAAACAACCGGCCCTTGTAGCTACGGATTAGTTCTCCTGACTAATGGATTTTAACCTATGTTGAACTAATTTTGTAAATTTTATATATTCCCTTTAGGTAAATGTAATAAAATAATAATATATTTGTGGAAAACTTACTCACATGTTTTAATTGATTTATAATGGTCCAAAGTACTGTGCGTAATAACTACACGTCGTTTTAATAAAAATATCACCAGTCGAGCTAAAGTAATCCTTGAACATTAAACAATAATCGTGTTCTGTCTATAACAAACATTTGGCCATGAAAAAACCAGTAGCAGATTGAGGTGTTTTCTCTTTCAGGTCCACATCAGTGCAATCGCTAACATCATGCCAGTCAAATTGTGGGGAAAAACCAGAAGCCATTGAACGAAGCTACTTAGAGGTTTTAGGTAGGAATTCTTTTAATTGTTTATGACATGACGAGCTTTGTTGCTGATGAACACGTTAATATCTTTGTATTTTTAGATAGAGACGAACTATGGCAACAAAAAGTCGAATGGGAAGAAAGATTGCAAGAGACCGGTGAACGCCTCGCAAAGTACGTCCGTTCTCGAGACAGACTTCGGCGTCAGCAGAAGAGGCTTTGCGCAGCCTTCACGGTCTTATTACGCCACATTTGTAAGTTCAAGAGCCTATTAAAAAGTTAAAAAAGTAAAAAAAGGTCAAGTTTTTACTTTAAAGAAAAACATATTTCTAATTTTTTTAGTTTCGTAACGTCTTTACGGATTTGGTTTGGGTACCAGTACATGGTATAGGTATTACGTAGAAAAGATCTAATGCATTTGATTGCTTTTTAATTGTTTTTAACATGGTTTTATTAGCTTGGTATGTATGGTGTTGGAATCTTTAAACGTGACTTTTATCCACTTCGAACCGTCGAACTAAATAGGAACTTAGCACACTTATAAGGACCGATGACAATGCAATTATTCAAATAGTTTGTCCCATTATACTCATCAGGATCGATCGGCTCGATCCCTTGGCGTTACGTAGAGATGTAGCTTTACTCTGCATCCTCTATCGTATATAACATGGAGAGTGCTCCGAGGAATTGTTCGGCCTAGTACCGGCCGCAACTTTCCGTCATCGTCCCACACGCAAAATTTTCATCCCCATCATCTGGATAATTGACGCTCTACTACTGTGCTTTCAAGACACGTTTTACCTAGCACAACTAATCTGTGGAACAAGTTATTGTCTGCGGTACTTCCGGACCGTGCATCTTCCTAAAAGGCCGGCAACGCGTTTATGACTCCTGAGTTGCAGGCGTTTATGGGTGGCGGGAGTCACTTTCCATCAGGTGAACATATGAATGAATATAGCATTGTTAGTATGGATCCTCTGTTTTGACCCTTCTGTAGCGCGTGGGCTGAGTGGTTAAGACCCTTTTTAAAGTAACAAACTAACTTATTTTATAACTTTTGGACTTCTGAATAAGTTGAACAAGTAATGAAGGTTATGTTCAAAAGTGACGTCATATGGCCGAGATGATAATAACAATGAATATTCTTGTTAACAACTCAATAACATCGATTAACAAGTCTACTAGATATGACGTAAATGTTAACTCGATATTAACAACTGCTTACAAGCATACATTCCTTCCCACCTTCCAAAAACCTAAATTAAAATTCAGGCATGAATAATGTAACAACTAATAAACAATACTTCGGGTAGGTTCTATGAGTAATACAGTGGTTAAATAGTTAGCAATCTCAAATATCTGCACCGTATATTTATTAATAACATTCTGATGTAAATAACTCGATTTCCAGTGAACACCACAGGTTTACAAAAGCTTTTCTGCGTATCATGATAGTTTCATTCATAGAAGCTTAAAATAGATTTACGCGTATCAGAGTAAACTTGTGGGAATGGGGTGCTTTCCCGTCTATCTGTTTCGGAAACTGACGTACACAGCGGCGCTAAATCGATACATAACGCACACAGACACCGTGTCGTGTACTCTTTGCGCATGCTTAGAGCCCTGTACCACGATATACTTTCACAATGAATATGACAGGAGACTATTTTCTATCTCGCAATCCTATTTATGTATACAACTGTGAACAAAATTCATCTACGGTAGTACAGTGGTACAGGGTCAGAAGCCCCACCGCTTCGTTTCAAGACTTTCCCAGTAAACATCACATCAGCTGGTTGACGTCGCAGTCTATAATGCTGCCGAGATATGGCCCATAGTTTTCCACGATTTTATTTCAATTTCCTTGTATCTGTTTATGAAGAAATAGCTTTAATTATTCGTTCTTAGCTAAAAATGTCTCATCCATATCCACCTGCAGTATCACTGCATCGAATTAAACCGCCAGGTCGTTAATTAGGTTCTCAGTTCAGTGCTAAAGATATGCGTTTATTGTCAAATACGTACCGCTTACAAGACAGATGAGTGCACTCCTAAACTCTTTGAGGAGCTTGGCTGGTGCTTCGAAGGCGGGCTCGGGTATGTACATTCTTTTAACTTATCTTGTACAAGATGCGAATGAAGAAACCTTTTAAGTTTTATGATTTTAATCGGTGATATACATGACTAGGTTTGCAAAAACACGACGTAAGTAATAATATTTTATTATACATGTATATATGAGTAAATAAAATCAGACTACATCCAGCCTTTTACTGTATTGGTATTGTCTAGACTGAATCACTTTATTATGTAAATGTAGTTACATACCCTTCATTGGCGGCTCTTATGAAATTATCTGTACGATACAGCACGACTGGATTTCTCTGTATACATCTTGATGTATACATCTTTATACGTTCCGTCAAAATGTCAAAATTAATTCCTATTGCTAACTTTTTTTTTTTGTAAATTTTAATATAAGTGTTCATATCAAACTATATTTTATTATTAATTTAAATATGTAAAAGAAAGTCCTACCTAACCCAAAGCTTTTATTTCATAGAAAGATATTTTAGAAAAACATTTTAATTTAACGCACTTCTAAATACTTTTTATTATTAAATATATAATGTACAAATAATTCTTGAATTAGTAGATATAAACAGATAATATTTTTGAATGGTTTTTAAGCCTTCCGCAATTTCTTTTGTGTCTATCTTATTTATAAGGACTTGGATTTGATCAAATGCACCTACAGAAAGTGTGGCTGACATTTGTTACAATAGAGCAGATAACTGTTAAGTCAAAAATAAATATTTTCACGTCAAAAGGGTATGTTTATTTCGTTTTGGTTCGAAGTACCTAATATGCGTTATCGTTTTCAGATCGCTGACTTTGAATTTTAAGCGAGAGTTTGGCGATCACAAAATGAACTGAGAAGCATATTTGGCCAGGTTTATCACCAAACAAGAAATGTTGCCAGTGCTCTTAATTCACAGGAGATTGTCAATTTAGTGTCATAAATAGAATGCAACCTTCAAGAACATTTCTTATACGTTATCAATTTATGGTTTTGTTTTGTAGCTGGTGAAAGTGGTGCTCGTTTCGGTGTAACGCCAGGTGTGGGAGAAGGGCCCGGCGAGGGTGGGTACGCCGAGTGGCTGCATGCGATGCGGTTGGTTGCTCGCCTCCCCGCCGGAGTACCACAACATTTCCGCAAAAAGGTATTCTATCATATTATTTCGATAAATTTAACATAGACACAATATTTAAACGATATTTTATAGAATCTTGAAAATAATACAATCAACTCAATTAAAGTATTGCTTACAATGAATACTACAATGAATTATGTGTAAGCGAATTTTAATAAGGACTAGTAAGATTATCAAAATAAACAAGCAAACAATTTCACTCTCTTAAAGCATTTCTTAGATTTTTGAGCTATGAATATTTTGGCATTATTAGATTTTAACATCATCATCATCATCATCAGCCTTTAATGGTCCACTGCTGGACATAAGCCTCTCCTTAGAAAGGAGGTTTTGGCCTACTATACCACGCTGGCCAGACGGGTTGGTATAGGGTTTGTGTCAAGTTTTCCTTCTCTCTGTAGTGTTGTTGTAGATTGTAGATTTTAACATTCCAAGTAAATAAAAATTGACATGTTTGTACGTCCTCTTGAAGACTGTAAATAAAATAAATTTAATTTCAATGGTAAGACGACTTATAACTAATATTAGTGGTAGAGATGAGAATTCGACCGTAAATGATGACATTTTGATTTCAACAAAGTTCTTCCAAAAAAATATTGGATCGTTATTTACACTGCCTTCGACTGCCCGTCTACAGCTTCTAAAAAAAAGAATTTTTACTTCGGTAGTATATTAAGCACATGTATCTACGTGTACGGTGTACGTGGTATCACCCTCGTCGAGCTGATCCATATGTGCAGAAGCATGGCTCTCCCATGGCTAAAACACACCGGTGTTCTGTATCAAATGTACCCGAAAACCACTAAAGTTTTTTACCACTAAACTTGACAAATCATTGGTTTTTCATACACATGTTTATCTTGTATCCTTCAATTAGTATTCTTCCTTCAACGTTTATTCTCGACTAAATAGCCTTGGCCCTTTTCAGTTCTCTCTCTGTATAATAAAATTTATTAAAATTGATAAAGTGGTGCCATATCTAAAAAATATTAGAGGTTCTTACTACGGCTTTTACTACGATAATACTTATTATTATCTTATTTTGAAGAGTTATTCCCTAAAGTTCAAACAAATTATTCACGTTCCATAACAACATTTTACTTTATTTGAGCTCTGTTCTATTTATAACATACAAGTTTAAGATCACGAAACTTTAAGTGTAATACTGTAATTATTTAGTAGTAGTCAATGCCGTGAGGCATCACGATAAGTTAAAAAGTTCGTTAGGCAAAGAAATACTCATTTAATTACCTACACATCACAGAAAAACGTCGTATCGGTAATGGTGGATTAATGACATTTACTAGATTTAAAATCTATAAAGGTTTGTTTACTAGAAGAACTACTATAGTAAAATAAGAAAAAGATGAGCGAAAAAGATCTTACAGTCACATAAAAAAAGGATTGGTCAAACAAATTAATAAACCCCTCTTTAAAGTCAGAATCCGATGTACCGACTACCGAGTTAAAAAACTTCGTTGTAACAAATTTGTTCTGATACGCTAAATTACCGTTTAATTTTCGTGATATGGCTGAGAAAATATATAAAGGTTAGAGTTTTGCCCAACGTTGGTTGTGTAGAATCTCATTTCTTTCTACATAATTGAATATTCGAGTACGGTAAAATACACGAAAAGAAAAACATATATTTTCTTGTTATAAAACTACGAGCAACGGACACTGGTATGCTGGGTTTTTTACACAGTGTGTGTGCCCTTAACATGATTGCTTTCGATTTTATACTTTAATTAAAAAGTGCTCTTACTTAATAATCCTCTTGTTAAGGTTACCTAATAGGAGAGGAAATATCCGATGAAATGAAATATAAATGAAATATATATATGACTGTCATAAATACATTTGTTACATTGTAGATTTATATAAATATTATTATATAATTATACATACACAAGCACATGCTATTGTAACACCGTTTCATTTGTGGATGCTGTTACCAAAACTGTACAGAGACCTTTTCAAATCAACAGCTATGGCTCACATTATCAAACCGTCATCTTACCGCAAGAGACATCGACTGGACATCAGCAGAACGGGCATGCTTTAGAGGCACCGCACAACCTGATGATACGGAATTGGGCTCTCAAATACTTAAAGTAACTATGCTTAATCATCTATTTACATTTATTTAAGCTGTTTAACGTGATAGAAATCAGGAATATGTAAAAAATTACACATCTCGATTTCCGGACGATACGGTTTAAACAATATTAAGTTTTTTTGTAGGATTTACACCGTACTGGCTGTTCACTATTCTGCGGGACTGAAGGTCGAGAAAATCAGGCAATGCTTCGCAGGGTACTACTAGCTTATGCACGGTAGGTTTTAATAAACCAAATTCATGAAAAGAGAGGAAAAGAATGGACATGACACTTATATCAAATCTACTAAAGGAACTTAACTTAGTAAAAGGCCTGAGAGCGAATGTTATGGCTTTTAATACTTATTGTTGATGCTTAGCACTAGCAGAACTACCACGTTTATAATTTTAAGTGTTTCAAAAATTTCTTAATTCTATTCATCTTAGGAGTGACAGTACATTACACATATCAAAAAGGTATTTTTTATCGTTTCAGGTGGAACAAGGATGTTGGTTACTGTCAAGGTTTTAATATGTTGGCTGCAATAATACTAGAAGTTATGGATAAGTCAGAATCAGAGTCATTGAAGGTAAACACTTTTTATAAAAAAAACTAAACTTGTCTGTATGACAACTTGTCTGTATGATGACCTTCGAAGGAGAAAGACTCTGCTATTGCCTAATTAGCACTTTTCTAAGTCAAGTGGATCTTTTGAAAAACACTTAAATGTAGTTCTCGTTGTTTTTTAGATTGATTCTAAATAATATAGGCAATAGCAGAGTCTTTCTCCTTCGAAGGTCATCATTGCAATAACCATTTATTGTAAACCTTGCATCGACAAACTTTCAAGAGACACGTGCACTTCCAGAAGGCACATTAAATAGAGTTTATCTAATTAGATAGTAACTAGATAAAAAATGGTAGTTACAAAAGGGGCATGTAACTTTTAATAATTACAGTTCAGTTTAACAAAAAATCTAAGAATATATAAGGATTTTCATTATCCACCTATACCATCAGACCAAACAAAGAAACCAATTCCAAACTGTTGGACACGTCAAAACGCATCATATAAGCAAAAACTCAAGGGCTAATTTATAGTGTTGTCATCCGAACTACATTTGCATATAAAGTTAGATTTAAACATGATAATCAGTAACATACGTAAGTTATCAATCAATCAATATCAATACGTAAGAAATCAGTACATAATAACAACATAGACTTTAGGTAAGTAAATATCCTCCTCGTTTTTTAAAGTTGGTAAAAATTTATGTTACTTTTTAATTTTCATTTAATTGGGGCTTTATTGGTTTGCAGGTCATGATATACTTAGTAGAAGCCGTGCTACCCGAAGGTTATTTTGCAGATGATCTTCGAGGCTTATCCGCTGATATGGCCGCATTCAGAGATCTACTCCGGTTGCGTTTGCCTCGCTTAGCTCAGCATATGGACTATTTACAAAGAATTTCTGATGGTATGGGTAACATTTATCCGAATTTTTGGATTTTAATCAAAATCTTTTTGTTAAAGTAATTTAATGTCGCTTTGTCATAATCTCCGACGTACATGGAAGTTCTCTGACCTCTGACCTAAAAAAAATCTTTTTTTAGATAAAACAATTTAATTTACTCTTATTAAATTACAGGTTAAGTCAATCTTTATCTTGTAAAATTTGATAATGTTTATTAAGATTAGAGCAGGAGGCCACTTTACTAACTAAAATTTTCATTTTATCAAATAGGTGGTGGTATTGAACCTCCTCTACCTGATGTGTTCACAATGCAATGGTTTCTGACTCTTTATGCAACTTGGTTACCTCGAGAATCTCTCTTACGGATATGGGATCTAGTTCTGCTCGATGGAAATGAAGTGTTACTTCTTACTGCACTGGCAATATGGGATATGCTTCAGGAGTAAGTTTTATATGCAACATCACGTTACAAAGGTACAATTTATTACCTGCACCACCTTTGACCTTAGAATAGCAAAACAACAACTTGCATGTTTTAAAATAAGGAAATTTTGCAGTAAAGTAAAGTATTAGTAGTTTTAAAATATTTTCTGTTTCTAAATTCAAACACGCAAATTTTTACACAGAGGTGCATAATCAGAGAGGGGTGAGTAAACACCCTTTCGTCACGATAACAATGTCGATAATAAATGATAAAAAGATAAGATTACGCTCCTATAATTCAGATGTTAACTTTATTAAGCATAATATACATATTACGAGTAATCTATGAAATACATATACTCACGCCTGTATTCGAGAAGAGGTAAGCACAGGTATAGAAAATACCTATATATTTAAAGCTATTATTGAATCTCACTCACTTAATCTTATTCCATGTGTTGGCACAACGAATGACCATCTTACACGTTTATAACTCGAACTAGCTGTTTCCAGAAAGCCTGTGCTTACATACCTGTGTAATATCCATGTACTTTTATATACTGCATAAACAATAATATATTATTTATTAAAAATATCTGCTAGAAATATTCCTTTGAATACCAACGAATTCTAAGTCCTACTAAATAGAAGAACAATACTTGATGAGCATTCTAACCTCCACTGAATAGTAGAGCTTTGCACTTATGTACCTAACTTTAACTTATGTAGCTTATGTACCTGTACCAAACTTGATTCAGGTAGCTCAGTTGGAGGATCAAATAAAGGTGAAATTTTTTGTTAAGTGTGTGTTTGTCTCAGTGGTATCTACTTATGAACAACCATCGATGTCAATCTAAGGTGATCACCACCGTGAAAGGCTAAAAGGCTTATAACCATACTTTTTGCTTTCAGCCGTATTCTATCAGCACGTTCAGCGGACGAGTTCTACAGCTGTATGGGCGGTGGTGCAGGTGCAGTCTGGGAAGCAGGGGACTCCCTAGTGGCAAGGGTGGTCTCGTTTGGCTCCGCCCCTGAACTGCCTAGATTACGCAGTCTGCATCGATACCGGGTAGCACCACCTGCGCCACCGACCTCAGCCCCGATATATCATCCGCCATTACATTCTGCAGTTTGTATTTCTTACACTCATTAACTATTGTACTGTGTGTGTGTGTGTGTGTGTGTGTGTGTGTGTAAATTCTCAATAAAATTCAATAATCTCAAATTCAAATTCTCAAAAAAAAAACAAAAGTCAAAATTTACAAGTTAGAACAAATTAATAGATTTTGATAATACTACAAATTTGATTTTACACACAAAGTAGTGATTTATAAATGCCGTATTTATATTTATATTTAAGCTACCTTAATTTTTTCAGGTGCAGTCAATGACGAAACGCGGTCTGAGACTGTTTTATTCAGAAGACGAAGGAGACTCTAGTGACGACGGAAACAAAATGGCCCTGGCAACTGTAAGATTGATTAAAAAATTTATAGCCTTTAAATGGTGTGCACATTATTTTCTATTGCACATTCGATGCTATTCCACGATCCCTTTTTATAGGTGATGCCACGGCGGGAAGAGAGACTAGCTGCCGGTGATCGGCTTTCTTTAGACATTGGAGCACTAAAGCGTCAATATGCTCGTCTTCGGGAGCGGCAAAGGCAGGCTCATGTAATTTTAGCCGCGGCTTGTGCCCGACAGGCTGCAGGTAAAGAGAACACTAGTCTTGCTTATTTTAATTAAAAATAATTTTACAAATCGGTTTAAAAATGATGGAGTTATGAGATTTTGGCATAATGATAAACAGACAACATTTTCATATTGTTTTAGTTGGCGTATCTACCTCACCAACATCACTTACAGTAAACAATCTTCTATTAGGGAAAAGTGCTATTGTAAGTTCTAGAGGGCGACGACTTGGACCACCTCCTGGGGCCGTACCACCTTCTAGACAAACTCCAATTCTTGAAAAAATAGAACCTCTAGCGCAAAGTCAAGCTAATGAAACTATTAGTTGGACAGAAGAGAAAACTCGAAAATCGCTAAGTAGACGGAATTCTGTTAAATGGAAAGATATTAAAAAAGATCAATCGAAGCATAAAGAAAGAAAACCGTCAATTGACTTGGATGAAGCTGGCGATGGTACAATCGTTTCTGAGCTTGAAGCTAGAGAAATAGTTGCTTCAGTAAGGTCGCGTAGCTCGAGTGAAACATCCTCCTATTCTTCACATAGTGGATCCAGTACGGATACTAGTCTCTGTGATGAAAATGAACGAGGAAGTGACTCTGATCCCGAGTTGCCAGAAGATAAAGGAAAAAACAACTCGAGTAGCAAATTCATATTATCGCCCATGATGAAGGAGAGCAAAATCGCCAGTTCACCTATTCTAAAACAATCTTCAATAGCCCAAACACCTGCAAGAGAAATAAAATTTAATCCTGCAGAAAAACCTATTGCTAAAGATATAGCCGACTATTTAGACTCTGCTGCTGGAGAACCTTTAAGAACATATATTGATGGGTTTGAAATAAAATTAAACGTTAGCCAAGCTGTTAGTAGTGAAAATAAATTTAAACTAACAAGTTTACCAACTCGTTCCCCCGAATTAACTTCCGAAAGAAATGAAGTACTTCAAAGATTAAATAGTACTAACTATGAGGAAATGTCTAGAAGTAGAGAAATAATAAGGCCTACAAGTTTTACAAAATCTCCTAAAAACTTTACTGATCTTAGCCCAATTGACTTATCACCGTGTCACTGCACTATTGCCCATAAATCTCCATACGATTACAATTTTGATACCAACTTCAAACGACCTTCTACACATGAACCAACATTTAGACCACCAGATATTATCGATAGCTTCACTATGTATCCAAATTTTGTGCCTGATATAGACTTATCGGATAAAAATATATCTGACATTGAAAGCCCTTCGAGAAGTCCTGGTGATGAAAGTATTATAGTGAGCGAAGATGAACCACCGATACCTTTGAAAATAGACAAGTACTTTGAGCACAGTCCGGAATTCTTTGGAGCTAGAGTCACAGACCCAAACAGTATAGATATTCCTAATCGAAGAGCAACTAAAAGACTTTCACGACTACCGAAGAAGCCAGATTCACTAACGTTACAGAGTAGTAACAACGACAAACTTTTAAAAGATGAAGCTGAAAGAGCATTATCGTTACCACAAAATCATAGCTTTGGAAAAAAAAGTGATGAAGACGAAGACGAAGAGATATACGAAGATATACAAGATATAGTTAGTGGTATGAAAACAAAAACACCTGAAGATAGAAAGGAATTTAAGGAAATATTCTCTCCGAAAGACTATATTTTGCAAACTGGGCGTAAAAACAGTGAAAGAGCTTTACAAATAATTCAGGAGAACTCAAAAATTTTAAGCAGAATATTGACAAAACAAAACATTATAGACACAAAAAGCCCCGCAACTGCATACCAATTGACTAAGAGTGATGAAAACGTGTTGGAAACTCGACGAAGTAGTTACATTAAAACCGTACCAGAAAAAACTGTTGAAAGTAATCTAAAAGATTCACCATTATTAAAAGAATCTACTTCAGACTCATTGATTGGGTACAGAAAACGCTTCAATAATTATGGTGCAGCTGAAAATAATGATTTCATACGAATAAGACCTATTTCTATCGATGATCCTTTTTCCTTAGAAGTTCGTAGCACCATGATTAAAACAGATGACTTTTTATTAAAAAATACTAAAAGTCCTAGCAGTGAATGTATCGGTAATAAAACTGATCATTATGGTTGGGAAAACAAAGGATTCCTAGCTAAAAGTTTATTGGAAAAATCAGAAAACTTAAATTTTTCTGAGTTTGATTACCGAAGAAAACCTAGTGATTTAACAAGTGATTTGACTAATAAGGAAGTGAAACCTTTAACGCCATCGGAGTGGACCCAGACGCGTCACTCATATTCAGATGAATCGAAACCATCAGTTACATTGCCATCTTCCGAACCAAAGAACACATCTACATATGAACAACGATTCACTTCTGATGAATGTAATTACCCATTGTCAAGTAAATATAACGACTTTGTGTTATCTAAAGCTAGTGATATATGCAGCAAAACAGTTAATCAAGGACCGAAAATTTGTGAAAATTTATCGAAGACTGATAACAGCCAAGTTAGTGACTTTGCTCATCTCGTGACTTCCTCTATTAGTTTTACATATGAACAATCTACTGAGGATGATTCCCCGATTGGAGCAAAGAGTAATTCTAGTGATACTCTGTGTCAAATAACTTCATTAGATCAGGTGTCAACTCCAATTTCGCCGAAAATATTTCCAAATAGGGAAACGCCTACGCTACCCAAAGACTATTCAGAAAATAGTGCCAGAACTAAAGTAGAGTCTGACGACACAATTAGCGCTATCACTTCGCTCATCGAGACCGATACTCTATCCTCATTGTCTTATCCTCGTAGTCCATCGACGGGCTCTTACCATCCGTTTCCCACTCGCCCTGCCCTCCGTATGCCGAAAGAACTAGGAGTAAGACTGGGTATGTATCCAAAAGATGGTATCAGCTCCCCGCCCAAATAAATAAAGGATTTATATTATAAGTTTATCCGTCACAAGCCAAATTCAAAGGTTGTTGTTATTTCACATTCTGTTTTTTTTTATTTCTTATAAGGTAAAAAAAGATTTTTACTGATATTTTGCGCTGTAAAACAACCTAGGTAGAGTTGAACCCTGTGCCGGTTTTTAGAAGTTTATGTTTTTATGTAATTTAAAACATTATATAATATTTGATTTTGTATTGATACCTTGACTACAGTTAACTTAATTATTATTAATTTTTCATTTACACGCTTTCGCTTTTATAATATAGTTTAGAATTGTTATACGTCCTTACATTTGAAATACAAAATGTTTCAAAAAATGTAAACATGATGTTTACAAATTTATTAAAGTTATTATTGTTGTTATGAATTGTGAAGCCTTTGGTATTTCATATAGTTATTTGAGCTAGAAACAAAACAAACACGTTGCCTTGAATCCAATTTAAATGTTATGCGTAATTACTAATCCTTCGCAATATTAAAATATTTGTACAATAATGAAGTAGATAGATAACTGTTTGAAGTCAATATAATTTACGGCAATTACTTATTTATACTGCTATAGAGTAATGTTCTAATTATATAAATGCAAAATGAAGGACTATGTTGTAGGAAATGATATTTTATTCTACAACAGTATTAAGAAAATATACATAATATGACAGATGTGTAATTTTTTATTTATTCGTCATATAAATCAAAAGAATACAGATTAAATCATAATACGAATATAACTTGTCAAAGACTGTAAAGGATTTTTATTCAAAATCTCTTTTTATTTATATAAAGTTGAAGAATAATACAAGTAGATATAATCTCATGCAGGGAAAGGTCGTTTTGCTGCTAAATCAAAATCCTTGATAAATTTTACATTTAATCATTGACAGACCTTATAATTATAGATAAAATAGTAATTGCTTGATAAAAGTCTAAAATTTTCATCTAGAAATCATCGAGCACCGGTGGACATGTGCATACAAGATGTTTGTCACCGTACATATCGTCTATACGGCTAACTGTCGGCCAGATCTTCGTCTCTCCCTTAACAAACGGCTGAAACAGAAAGCAATGCTAAACCAAAGCCAAATTTATAGAAAAACAAAATCCCATTCCTAATTTCTTTTTATTTGGAATAATACAGTAAGCGTAATTCGCAAATGTGTGTCTGCGTGTGAGCATCAGTGTTAGATCTGACATCATTGTAAGTCCCACTATCATATGAGTAGACACGGCGACGATAGACGATGAAGACTAGAAGCCATTGCATAAATGTGGCAAAACATCGTTTAAGATTTTGGCGCCTGACAAACTTCTGTAATTGTCTTATCTTGGCTGAGATAACAAATAAGAATATGGAAAATGTGAATTGTTTTTAGTCGTAACTAAGTTTCATCATCATCATCATCATCAACAGCCTTTAACAGCCCACTGCTGGACATAAGCCTCTCCTTAGAGTTTATTTGTATGTAATGTAAAAGAAAACCTTTGTTTACAAGTAGAATGAACAAGTATGAAGTTTATCAGAAGTGTTACTGAAGCATGTGTGAGTGTTTTTACTTACAGCTGGAAACGCTGCCTGCTCCCGACTGTACGGTCTATTCCACTCATCAGATATTACCTCCGCCTGAGTGTGCGGTGCCATCTTAAATCAGGATAACAAATAGTAGTAAATAGTTTTCGTACCTATTATGTCAAATAAGGTCTGAAATCAAAATTTTTGGGACTCAACTTTGCATTTTTTAATACGAGTATAATCTAGTTCTAATGATATGAAAAGAATGTTTAAAAGTTTTCGTCTCCGCAACATACGGCAAGGGTACAAAAAAAAATCACACCACAGGAGAAAAATTCATAGAACCTTAATATGTACAATTTTAAGCATTTTCCATTGACCTATGGTGTCTAACTTTTACCGTTTTCGAGTAATTGCAAAACAAAACGTTCGTACTTTTTTGTAACCTTGCCCGAGGTACTCACATTGTTTTCATATCATTAAAACTAGATTATATTAAAAAAATGCAAAGTTGAGTCTCAAAACTTTGATTTGAGACCTTATTTGACGGGACTATTTTAGAAATTCAAATTAATTAAATTAATTAAATTCAAATTCATTAGGTACTTTTACTCTCCTAAATAGGACGATTATGAGTTTTCTATTACTGCAATAAAAATTTAGGTTGGTTAGGAGATATACATATTTTCTTCGCTGTTTTTTATTTTCGTTAGTCCGAGGTGACTAATGAACAAAAGATTTTTCTTATTTTAAAGCGATAATCAGAGAAACAACAATACCTTTAATGGATTAAGCCTCTTGTCAATATGTCCATCTTCAATATCTTTAATTTCCTTTCTGATTGTGATTAGGGCTTCACAATATCGGTTCATCTCTTGCAAGTCTTCAGACTCCGTGGGCTCTATCATTAAAGTCCCACCGACAGGCCACGACATAGTAGGTGCGTGAAAACCTGAAAAATACATTTTTGCTAATATTACGAAAGCTGTATTTTGTTAAAGAAATTTTTCAATAAGCTTTTAGGAAAGTTTTTATTTCTTCGGGGATGGGAAAGTCTAACTTATTTTTAATGATGCTTTAACGAATTAATCAATACATCATCCATTCAAATACAGGACGGTTCGGAGTTTATTTGCTGCTTTGATAATTTGGTAAGTTGTTTTAAGTTGTTAATTAAGACCTACTCTGTATAAAATTCTGTATACAAATACATAAAAGACGAAATGATCCGTCCCTACAGTATATTCTAAAAATAAATATTACGTTTAGTACGTACCTATAGCTAAAATCCAAATCAAAATTTTAATAGCAGCTAAGGGTTCTGTAATGCAATAATTGTATAAATTCTATATCTTACCGAAATCCATAAGTCTCTTAGCAATGTCTCCAGGTTCAATGTTCGCAGTTTTCTTCAAATCTCTGACGTCTATAATAAACTCGTGAGCTACCAGTCCTCTCTCTCCTTTGTACAATGTTTTGTAATGCCCCTCTAAACGCTTAGACATGTAATTAGCGTTGAGAATCGCTACCTGAGTCGCACGCCTCAGCCCCTTAGGACCCATCATCTGTAATTTAAGAACATATATTAAAATACATAAATAGTTCATATAGATTTTTAAACTGCTCCTGCTTGGGAGCCTAAAGATAAATATTATATGCTAAATTAACATCACTCCACCACCCTTAAGGTGCAATAGTAGTGTAGTAGTTACTTCAAATATAAGAAATCGTTCAAATAAGATATATTTTTACTGTTATCTACGGCCTGTAGATGACCCCCTCGTGTGTGTGAACCACGGTGTCCCGTTCTACAATCTAAAGGGCGCGTCGCGCCGCCAACTCGGCCTGCTTCTGTTAGGGTGACAGACTGCCCCACCTGTCATCGCCAGGCCTGCGCTTATGGAGGACGGAGGTGAGGTCGTTCTGCGACCTCCAGCGCCTGAGTCGTCTCCCGTACCTAGCCCGCTCCCGTGCTTGGCAGACCGGGAAAGTTCTAAATCTCTGCCGGTCCCGCTCCGCAATCTCCTACGCAAGCATAACTTGCTTACAGAAGGAGACGGCGGAGTTCCACGCGCTCTCGCTCCGTGCCATGGCCGAACTACAATCCTCCTAGGTCGTAGGTAGGTATGTAATTGTTTTTACTTACTTTAATATAAGCCCATGATATAGGAAGAATTGCAGAAGATCCGTAAGGTGCTGCGCTAACTGAACCAAAGCTGTGAGCTTCCTCGCCCAGGTCTGCGAGTGGATCTACTACGGGATGTGACGGCAAGAATGGAGCCAAATGTGCTTTCCTGTAATAAACATAAGTACTAATTGAGCACTGCGAGCTTAAAATAACACACCTTGATAGTCTAGAAGTTTTTTAAATGACCAAACGAATATATTAAATATGTCTTAAATATAGCAGCGCAAACTTTTTACGTAAATGCATTTCACAACACAATTGCAGCCGTGATGTGTTTACAAAATAATATTTACTGCCAATGTCGTACCCTCCACCTACGTGTTTTGTAAACAAACATTAATCTCATTACGCCATAACACTCGTATAATAAAGTATAGATTTACTACTACATTGTATTGGTAGATAAATGAAGATCAATATTTTTCAAATAAAAATATATGGTTTAGCTTTCCTACAGTTTCTTATCAAAATAAACTAACGAGTAAATTAATTTTGTGAAGATAAAGAATTATAAATACTCACACTCCAATAGGTCCCATACCAGGTCCTCCACCACCGTGAGGAATACAAAATGTTTTGTGCAAGTTCAAATGTGACACATCGCTGCCATAGTCGCCAGGTCGACAAAGACCCACCTAAAATTGATTTTAATTAAAGCAGTCAAAATACCAAGTACTTATGTATTTTTATAGTATTTACATTAGAAAAATGTAAACATTGTTCGTGAACGAAACTTGTATTGAAAAAAAATAATCAAAATATAGTAGATGTAACTACTAGTAGACTGTAGACTAACATAAACTCACACTGAGAAAACATGTTAAGTTTAATATAAATATAATAATAATAATTAAGTTAGGGCTAGCAAAAACACTGACTAAAGCGTGACTAATACCGTCATGTATCAGGAACACAACATCTTTATTTAAAAAGTGCTAAAAAAGTTAAAAACCTAAACATAAAATTATATATTACAAAGCTTAGGGTAACGCTAAAACTGTATATCGTGCCGATTACGTTTATCATGTACTCATTACTGTTCCTAATAATTGAGATATTAAAAACTGAGAGCTTCACAGTAGGCGCAATGGACGTGTGTAACATCTCACATATCACCTTTTGTTTTCTGTCTGACTATCTGTACCATAGAGCTGTGCTTTTCAGGTTTGTTGTTATTTATTTCCATCCCCTTTCACGAAATCACTTTTACAGATTGCAATCAAGGGAGAGGAAAGTTGTTACATATCAAAAATTACTGTTGTATTTAAACGATATACTATATAGTAATGAGAGAAAAACTAACGCACCTGAGCATTCATATTAGCACCATCAAGATACACTTGTCCACCATGTTTATGTACCAAAGCACATATGTCTGCAGCACGTTCTTCGAATACACCGAACGTACTAGGGTAAGTTAACATCAGGCAAGAAATGTTGGCACTGTGCTCCTCAACCTAGAAAAAAAAGACACGTGTAACGATTAACTAAAAAGTTTTAAATCCATTTAATTCTTTAATTTTCTTAGCTCTATTTCAACTCTGATAACTATCTTTTACACGCTCTGAGCGGATGGGAGCGAGACCGAAAAATGTGTAACAAGACTTTTTCCGACACTTCTTGCTTTAGTTACAGTCGTGTATGAACAATATACATCGCCGCACTCGCACACATACAGTTCTCCCGCGCGCCGAAATAACTTAATTATCCCAGATCATTCAGTGTTTAACTTCTCATTATTTATTTTATACATAATAAATATATTCTATTATACATTTTTCAATTTAACTCTATTAAATTGATATTTTATACTGTAAATTATAATGGCTGTAAAGCAAACGTCTACGTAATGCGAAAGAAACTTCGATTCGACCGGTGGCCCATAGACCCGTCACGCCTTTTTTCTAAACGTCTTAACGACTCTTAGTCTAGTCTTTTTTACAAACTACAAGTGACTTCAACAAAAAACCGCTTGCTATTAAATCTCAGATCTACTTTATAAACTTGAAGATAATTGGTATAAATATAACGCAATATACGTTTTGTCCAAAACTATATGCATATTATTAGAACACGTAATCGATTACGTGTTTAGTCATGAAGAGATGTTATGCTGAAGAGCTAAGGAAGTCAAACATGCTATGATTTGGCTTAGTCATAAAAACTTATAGGTTATAATTGTATTACTAAACACTTTTCTTACCTTTTCCTTCAAATGTACCATGTCAATATCGCCAGAAGGTGTAACGCGGATAGCGCAGACACGCATACCAGCCATATGAGCAGATGCGGGATTCGTGCCGTGTGCGCTGACCGGAATCAAACAAATGTTACGCCCTGTATCACCACGGAATTCATGGTAACGCTTTATCGTTCGCAATCCGGCGTATTCACCTTGAGCTCCACTATAAGAAGAAAATGCATAAAATTAGATTAAATACCCGAAGAATTACGGGAATTAGACGTTCTTATTTTAAACTGACAAGGATAAGAGAAACAGACAATAAGACAACAAACAATAAGAATGATACTTTAAATTGTCCTCAGATAGCAGATAAATATGTAATAATCCTGAGCGCACGAAAATGTTATCATAGTCACGACTCGCCTGTTGGGCTGGAACGAGACACGATCGTATCCTGTGACGGCGCACAGATCGCGGGCGAGTTCCTCGAATAGTATGTGATACCCTTGGCATTGGTCGAGAGGTGCAAAGGGATGGATGTCTGTGAAATGTTTGAACGAACACGGCATCATTTCCGTTGTCGAGTTCAATTTCATTGTGCAGGAGCCCTGTAGAACATTAACAAAAAGTTTAGGAAAATATTTATCCAATAACTTGAATTGTGAAAGAATATTGCGTGTTGTATAATAAAAAAGAAATCAAATATACTTATATGATAATACAAACAATTCAGAAATCAGGTACCTATTAAATTTAAATACAATATCTCACAAAGAGAATTTTCTAGAAAGGGAATTTAATAAGTGTTTCTTGAAAGAAGCTATAGTAATTAGGCTAATATTTGAAATTACTTACTAATGGAATCATAGAATGCACGAGAGAGACGTCTTTGTTCTCCAATCTTTTCATGTACCGAACTATACTAGTTTCAGAGTGATGCATATTAAACACAGGATGATTTAAATAAGGAGACGTTCTTCTAAAGGACCCTTTATGCAAGCTATTAGCTCTGATGTCACCTTCTTTTGTTACCTAGGGAAATATTAGATCCCGTTGAATGTAAAAGTACATTATAGTTGAATCAATATAGTACAGATCAGACAAACTTGAAGAGAGTCAACTAGAGTTACCTCTTGAACCGGTTTACAATCAAATATCCATAAGAGATCATCAACGTCCTCGCGAGTAATGGTTTCATCTAAAGCCACACCAACAGCTCCGTCATCAAAGTATCGTAAATTTATCTTCTTTTGATGCGCTCGGTCTTTAATCGCATCGGTATCATGTTCTGATAGAGGAACTATGTGAAGGGTGTCAAAGTATACATCATTAGATTGCTTATGACCACGCTGTTTTATTCCTAAAACATATTAATAGATAAATTGATTAGTTTATTCATGAATGACAAAAAAAAAAGTTTTTGAAAATCCTACTTACCATGATCTAGAACCAGCGCAGCATTATGCACACGAGTTGCAATATCGCGAAGACCTTGAGGACCATGGTATACAGCATACATAGCAGACATATTAGCCAACAATGCTTGAGCTGTGCAAATGTTAGATGTCGCTTTGTCTCTTCGTATATGCTGCTCACGAGTCTGAAGAGCTAATCTAAGTATAAAGACACACTATTCAACTCTGCCTAACTGACTAACTGTTTCCTCAACCACATTGAAACTATAGAATCCAATGCTAATACTGCAACAACGCAACTTCTAATCAATATCTCTTATCAATCCAATCAATATTACAACCTTGAATTGTAGTTCAGAGGGACGAACACTTTAAAAATATTCAACAGCATCGAGGCAACACGTGTCCTTTTATGTAGTACCTATCACTAATATAAGGCACCGCATCTTATAGCAATTTATTTCTTGTAATCAATGAATAGATTTTAACGATATTATGAATATTTAAATGAACTTACAATTTTTTTAAATATATATTTATCAAAATCTACCTATAAGCATCTCTTCCAGCTGCATCCCTGGTAACCCCTACCATGCGGCCCGGCATCAAACGCACGAGAGCATGTTTGGCTGCGAAAAAGCCAGCGTGAGGGCCTCCGTAATCTAGAGGTACGCCCAACCGTTGTGATGTTCCTACCGCTAATGCAGCTCCACATTCTGCTGGTGGCCGCAACAAAGCAAGAGCCAGTAAATCAGTTGCAACAACTACTAAAGTCTGTTGACCAAAAAATGAGTTTGAATTAAAATTAAAATAAATACAAAGTGTATGTGTGTATATGTGTGTAAGTGTGTGTACTTTCTCTAAATTAATAAATAAGGTAAATTACACCGTGTTCGTGTGCTTCTGCTGCTAAGCCTGAGTAGTCATAAACTAAGCCTCTGGTATCAGGACATTGTAGTAAAACAGCGGATATGTCTCTCTGAGCAAAGTCTACTTGACGCACATCGGGTACGACATCTACTTCCAAACCCAAAGCATCAAGTCGTGTTTGAACTACCGCCAATGTTTGAGGATGTATTCTTTCCGATACAACGAATTTTTTTCTTTTATTGTGCCTGCAAGAAACATTTTTTATTATATAAACAGAACTTCTTTCAACAAAAATTCGTTAAAACTTGCTTGCTCTACTGTATCCTAAACAGTTGAAATATTAAAACCCGAGACTTCGTAATAAAAATAAATTAATACCTATGGCAAAGCGATAAACCTTCAGCTGCAGCAGTGCCTTCATCCAATAGTGATGCATTGGCTACGTCTAATCCTGTTAGATCACTGACCATTGTCTGATAATTTAGAAGACTTTCAAGTCTTCCTTGCGCTACTTCAGGTTGGTATGGCGTGTATTGGGTTGTCCTGTTAATTATAAATGGAAAAATATTCATACATAAATAATGAAATTATTTGTATTTGTGCATGCCAAGTCAAAATAGGTAGAAATTAAAATACTAAAGCATTAAAAAATTGCAATTACCATCCAGGATTTTCGAACATATTACGCATGATGGTATGCGGCACGCAGCAATTGTGGTAACCCATTCCAATATACGATCGCCATATCTGATTTTTTTCAGATATCTTACGAACTCGTTCAATGAGCTCATATTCACCTAAAACAAGGACACGTTACAGTTGATAAGTTGATATCATATAATACATGGTTAGGTTGTAGGCTATGGTCCTTACTAATAGGTTCGCTGATATCCATAAGTCCAGGGTATTGAATTTGCTTCGGTACTGCATCATTAGTTAGTTGATCTAAGTTCTGAAAAGAAAAACACATATGAAGTATAAAAATAGTTAAATTCCGTTACATAAAAAATGGTTAGTATTAATTAATTACCTTGTAACCAAGAAAATCTAACATAGTCACTAAATCTTCATCTCGAGGACCTATATGTTTACTTGGAAAGTCTGTGCGCTCAGGAAACAAACTCTCTGATTTTGAACTTTGTGCAACACAACGTATACTATTTTTCCATAACTTTCCACCAGGAAAGGTTTTTTGGAAACTATTAAATGAGCTCCTAACTACTAAACCACGTTTTATAATACGATGCATTTTAAAAAGTTTATAAGTGCGACATTTAATGTGTGTCTTACGAAAGCGACAGTAATGTACTGATAGAAAGGTCAAAGCATCTTGTGAGTATAGTAGATAACGATAGAGCACAGTAAATAACATAATGATCACACAAAACATTCAGGTCCGTCATTTGTAAACAAAATATAGATAAATAGGTCATTAATGGTTTCTTTTACATAGGGTGAATGGATATTATGAATATGTTAGTTTTGCGTTATTGGCCAAGTCAATAATATTTTCACTAGTTTTTCAGCTGTGACTTAAACCAAATTGCAAACATGAATAGGTATAACTAGCCATTTACAGCAACTCTGTCTACGCTGAATGCCTAGTATCTAGGTGAATTAGTACGGCACCTTCATTATTAGCCTGTGCCTCTTTTTTATGGACGGAGCTCTACGGCAACCATAAAGCAATTATAGATTTTCTTGGTTTTTTCTTCTTCTCGGTTCTGTCAACAACTATTGGAATGTGTACATCTTCTCATATGATGTATAAACCCGTCTGGCTCGGGGGCGGTGTTCTTACAGCTGATCCATATAACATCAGATCACATCATCAACAGCCTTCAATAGTCACTGCCGGACATAGGCCTTTCCTGAGGAAGAAGGTTTAGGCCTACTATACCCCGCTGGTAAAACGGGTCGGTATAAGGTTTGATGAACAGGAACCCATGGGAGGAAAGGGGGGTGGTGATACTCCGTAATCTTAATCCATCACCACACGAATGAGATCCATAGAACAGCCGCTCCAATTTCTACCTCCGTGACGGGTGAAACAGCCCTTTCATCACGGGGGCCCCGCTTTTATAATACATTTCTTTTTTATATTTTAGATCAATATATTACGATAATATGCGAGGTGTGCGCAAGGTGGGTGCCGAAAATGCTCACGCCACACCAGAAGCAGCGGCGAGATGAGTGTTTTTGCGAGATTTTTTTTGTGGTGAAAACCAGGACGAAGTTATAGGCCGGATTGTGACTGGAGACGAAACTTGGGTTCAACATTATGAGCCTGAGTCTAAATAGGACTCCATGCAGTGGCACGAAAAGGGCACACCACCGCGAAGAAATTCAAAGTGTCTTCATAGGCTAGAAAACTCATGGCCACTGTTTTCTGGGATACAGAGGGAATTCTTCTGATTGACTACAAAGAAAAGGGTATTAATATAACTGGAGAGCACTACACTGCACTACTAGAACGTCTGCGAGATGCTCTGAGGGAGAAAAGGCGGAGAAAATTTATCTCGACAATTTTGCTCGACAATGCACCCGTGCACAAGGCGCAAGTTACGGAGCTGCTATACAAAGAGTGGGCTTCGAAATCCTGTCACATCCTCTCTGTAGCTCAGATTAGGCCCTCGCAATTATTATCAATTCCCAAAAATGAAAAAAGAGCTTCGAGGGTAGAAATTTTCTAACGATGAAGAGGTGAAGAGCACAATTTCGACGATAAAGACAAATCATTTGTTTCGAAGGAATATATAAATTTATTGATAGATCTAATAAATGTATCAGAGTTAAGGTAGAATACATTGAGAAGGAAAAATAAATTTGCGTTTTATTTCTTAGTTTTTACCCTCCATTCCGCGAACTTTTTGACCCCCGTCGTACATACTTAACTAACTAATTATGTTCTGAATTTATTAATGCCATATAATGAAGTGCTAATCGAGTGCTCATCCATTAGTTGGTCACAGACTTAAATTTATTACAAAAATAATGTTACAACATTTAGACAAACCTAAATCTCCTCTCTCTTGACAAATCTTGTTTTGTTTTTTAAAAACAGTGCACAGATACATTTTAACTTGAATATTCGACAAGCACCTAATGAGAACTAAAGTTATAGGTACTGGTAATCAGTGAAAAATGTTGACACGTTTGATCAATGCTGTAGGGATCTTTGTTATCCTAATTGTCTAACTGTACTATTACTAAAACTAGTAACAGTCTTTATACATTGTTGAGCTCAAATTATTAATGTCAGATACATTAATAATTTGAGAATATTATTAACTTCACGGTGACGGTTAGTCTCAGGTTCTATTCTCTTTACACAAATTGCGCGACGAAACTTTAACTTGAAAATTTTAAGATATTTATAGAAAATGACAATAGAGAAAAAATATTTACATTCTAGAGTATCAATGCTACAGTGATTTTACTTCATCGAAATAATGTAAAAATTTTGCTTCTGCCTATGTCCAAGTAATAAGTAAGCACTTAAGAGATTAAGGTTCGTCTAAATGTTGTAACAATATTGTTCCTTTAGTCTGTAACCAAATAATGGGTGAGCACTCATTAGCACTTAATTATATGGCATTAAGAAAGTCAGAACATAATTAGTTCATTAAATATGTATAATGTTTGATGTCAGGAATTCTCTAAATCGTATTAAATAAGCCTACTTAACTTTTTAAATATTCTAGGACCGCCTAATTTCTAGTAGCACTTAATTAATAGTTAGTGATAATAGCAAATGTTTCCACGATTTAATCTTAATCCTGTAGTGATCATGGATCTTTTAAAATGTCATACAATGTATTGCTGATGTTTTTCTGGAGCATCATGAATCTTTTTCAAATTCCAATTTTTTTAATTTATACTAATAATTTTGGAATCGAGTATCTCTAAATTTTTTCTTCTTCTATGTTCAACCGAATCATTTACTGTTTTTGAAAGAATTTTATTAGCACTTAATTATTGATTTCATCATTATATTTGATTTCGAAATCATTTTAACTTTTGGAAAAATTTGCAGCACTTAATTCCTTACTGTTCATATTAATTGTAAACTCATTATTGTCACTGAGTTGCTCGCTTGATATTTTGCTAGCAACGCAATTTTTTTAATCTTGCCACCTAATTAGCACCTTAAAAGCCTCTAATATTGGCATTTTTTAAATGCAGATTCCTGACTGCGTTACTGGCAAGAAAGAGCTTTTAGCTTGTCGAACTCATCATCAGCCTATCGCAGTCCACTGCTGGACATAGGCCTCTCCCATTGCACGCCACTTAGATCGATTTTGGGCTTCTCGCATCCAGCTCCTGCCAGCCATCTTGCGCAAATCGTCACTCCACCTGGCCTGTGGGCGTCCTACACTACGTTTGCCGAGACGCGGTCTCCACTCAAGAACTCGTTTTCCCCAACGGTTATCGGTTCTGCGGCTAATATGGCCAGCCCACTGCCACTTCAACTTGCTGATCCGGTACGCTATGTCGGTGACCTTAGTTCTCTGCCGGATCACCTCATTTCTGATGCGATCCCTTAGAGAAACGCCGAGCATAGCCCTTTCCATAGCACGTTGAGCGACTTTGAACTTGTGGACCAGCCGTACCGTAAGTGTCCACGTTTCAGCTCCGTATGTCATGACGGGTAGGACGCACTCATTAAAGACTTTCGTCTTAAGGCACTGTGGGATCGACGATGAGAAGACTCGACGTAGCTTCCCAAACGCTGCCCAACCCAACCGAATTCTTCTGTTCACCTCGTCCTCGAAGTTGTTTCTACCTAACTGCAATGTCTGCCCGAGGTACACATAATTTTGAACAACTTCGAGAACGGCACCGTGTACCGCAATCGGTTCCGGTAGTACATGTTCGTTGAACATGACCTTGGTTTTATCCAAGTTCATCCGTAGGCCGATGCGTACAGAAGTGTCAGCTAAGTCATTCAGCACTTGCTGTAGGTCCTGCAACGTCTCTGCCATGATGACGATGTCATCTGCAAATCGCAAGTGAGAGATGTATTCGCCATTAATATTGATGCCACGCCCTTTCCAGTGCAGCGTCTTGTCGAACTGTTAGGCAAGTTTTTCCAAACTCTTATACGACAAAAAAATTATAAGTAAATGGGAACTTAGTTAGCAACTTTGTGGCAATCCCGAGCAATGGCAAGCCAATGACATTGCGGAATGTGGCATTGCCGGTGTCACTGACACTGGCTTGGGATTTTAATTTTGATAACACAAAAAAAATATCGCTAATTAGTCGAAATTTGTCGCTAAATATCAAAATTTGTCGATCACTGGTTCAAAAACTATAAGCTTTTATAGGTATATGACTTTTGAACCAGTGACCGATAAATTCTGATACATGACGACCAATTAGATAATTAAATTTGGGAGAAAACAGATCTTCGCGAAATGGACAAATTTTTGAGATATAAGCGTGACCAAGCTGAGGAAATTGTCCCAAGGTCGGCCACCTATAAACGCTTATAACTTTTAAACCAGTGACTGACAAATTTCAACTGATTAGCGACATTTTTATTTTATTTTAAAAATTAAAACCCTGATGGTGGCCAAGCCAGTGTCAGTGACACGCATTGCCAAACTTTGCAGATAGGAAATCATCTAAACTTTTTTGTTGAACTAACAAAATTAAAAAAATCGTTTGTCGAATTGACAATAGTTATGAAAGACGTCTAAAAAGTACCTAGTAAGTTGGCGCATGTAGGTTCAAATCTAGGACGCCTGAAAAGTGGGTATAAACTGGGAATTATTCAGCATATTATATTATGTATTTAAATTATTCATAAATATATATAGATGATCATGATGATGATATCAAGACCTATTTCTTAGCCTTCCATGAATTTATCAGGAGGGTGCCGGGTCCATCGCGTGATAGATAGGGTAATACTTCGACTGCAACAGCGCCTAGTACTTGGGACCCAGGAGTAGGTTTAAGGAGTACTGCTTGCAACGCGTCCGAGCTCACCTTTACCCTCTAACTAAGTAACCATATTTGATATGATCCTCATTGAAGCTCTTGGCAATCCAAGGGTTTTAAGCAAGTTATAGAGGGATTTATCTGGTATACCCCTCGCAACCATTTCCACGGCATACAACGCAACGAAATAGGCATTTCTTGTAATTTCAATGTTAGGTTAAGTCAAAGTACTTATTCTTTTTAAAAGATTGATCTTTAGGGATGTTCGTTTCCTAAGGTACCGTGAGTTCTACTAGTACT